CCACGTTTCTGTGTAGATAGCAGAAAATTAAATTCGGTGACTAAAAAAGACGCTTACAGCTTACCTTATGTTTCTGAAATTCTAGATAACTTAAAAGAGGCTAGATTCATTAGCAAGCTGGATTTATCAAAGGCTTTTTGGCAAATCCCAATAAATATATCTGACCGAGAAAAGACTGCATTTTACGTACCTGGGCGGGGCACCTTGATGTTTAAAGTAATGGCGTTTGGTTTGGCAAATGCACCCGCTACGCAACAACGCCTCGTAGATAAGCTTTTCGGTCAGGAGTTTGAATTAAAAGTCTTCTGTTATTTGGACGATGTTATTGTAGTAAGTAGTAGTTTTCGGGAACACGTTTCTCTTTTACAACGGGTACTAGAGAAGTTACGTCAGGCGAATTTGACCATAAACTTAGAAAAGTGCCAGTTTTTTAGTAATGAAATGCGATATCTTGGCTATGTCGTTGATCAACAAGGACTTCGCACTGATCCAGAGAAAGTTGAGGCTATTCTGAATTTTCCTACTCCTTCTACAAAGAAAGAAGTAAAACGATTTCTCGGTACAGCTTCATGGTATCGACGTTTCATTCCAAACTTCAGCACCATCGCGGGTCCACTTAATATTCTAACCTCGACTAAAAAGAATTCTCCAGCGTTCTCCTGGACCCTTGAAGCAGATCGGGCGTTTCTTAAGCTGAAATCCTTACTAGTAAAATCTCCTATCCTAGCATGCCCTAACTTTGACCTACCTTTTGATGTTCATGCCGATGCAAGCAACTTCGGAGTCGGTGCTATGCTTTCGCAAACAGTGGAAGGTGTAGAGCATCCCATTGCCTACATGAGTAGATCTCTATCTGGAGCTGAACGTAATTACAGCGTAACAGAAAGAGAAACATTAGCTGTATTAACGGCACTAGAGCATTGGCGCTGCTATTTGGAAAGTGGTAAACCATTTTCTGTCTATACTGATCATTCTGCTTTGAAATGGTTCCTTTCACTTTCCAACCCTTCTGGACGCCTTGCTAGATGGGGTGTCCGACTTTCATCCTTTAATTTTATTATTAAACATCGACGGGGCAAAGATAACATTATTCCTGATGCCTTATCTCGTTGTCCTATTGCTGCTGTTTCTACATTTAGCAATGAAATTTCTGCTCAGTCTCCATTAGTTAGTACCTCTAAAAACTTAAATACTACAGATAATTGGTATCTTAATTTATTTAATGGTTGTTTAACCAAGCCAGTCAATTTTCCTAACTATTGTATAGAAAGAAATACCTTATATCGCTATACAAAAAGTAAGAACTTACTTATATCCGAATTTTGCTGGAAAGAAGTAATAGCAAAGGAAAATCGTGAGAATATTATAAATAATAACCACTCTACACCTACAGCGGCACATCTAGGTATTTATAAAACTTACCATCGTCTTCTTTTAAAATACTACTGGCCAGGCATGTACAGTGATGTGGTAAAATTTATATCTAACTGTCAAATTTGTCTTGCTTACAAACAACCAACTCATGGTACTCTCGGAAAAATGGGCAGACCTAAATTCTGTTCACGACCTTTTCAAACATTTTCTATAGACTTAGTTGGCCCATTACCAACCAGCAAAAAACAACATAATTACATCTTTGTCATAACATGCTGTTTCTCTAAGTATTGTCTACTTTTCCCATTAAGACAGGCTACTAGTACAGCAGTTTGTAAAATCTTAGAAGATAGCGTTTTTCTCGTACATGGTATACCACAGACAATATTAATGGATAATGGATCACAGTTTATTAGTCATCAGCTAGAAAAACTACTATCCATGTATAAAATTCCGAATATACATTTTTCCCCAAAATACACACCACAAGTAAATACTGTGGAAAGATACAACAAAACCATTATTACCGCCATATCAACGTTAATAAATAATGATCATAGAGCTTGGGATGTAAATCTACCCAAGATACAGTTTGCAATAAATAACTCAGTCAATGAAGTTACAGGATATACACCATCTTTTTTGGTGTATGGTCGAGAACTTGTATCATGTGGGTCACATTACATTGATAATGATAATTCTAACGATCTTATTTTTTTACCTCGTGAAATTTATTCAGAAAATCTAGGCCATTTAGCAGTTGTCTTTGATAACGTACAGAAAGCCTTATGGCATAGCCATCAGAAGTCAACAGAACGTTACAATCTAAGGCGTAAACACACTGAGTTTTATATTGGAGACATCGTTTGGAAGAGATGCTACTTTCAAAGCGATAAAAGCAATTATTTTGCCAAAAAACTAGCTCCAAAATTTGAAAAATGCCGCGTTATAGGTAAACGCTCACCTCTAGTTTATATTTTGGAGAATATGCACGGTCATAACTTGGGTACCTGGCATATCAAAGATTTGAAGATGAAAGTTGTTGATTCTTCGACAAATAATTGATATATCTTTTATTTATCCAACCAGATCGTAGCAATGGCGCGTTTTACATAGGTAAAACCCTTTTCTATGGAAGGGGAATGTCACGGTTAGCGTGTGTCCTAATAATAATATTTTTTTAATAAAATAAGTCTACACATACATCTATAATAATCATTATATATACATATATATACAACAACAAATGCAAACAATTTTATTCAACCTCAATTTAAAATTATAAATTAATTAACATACTATTATTACGACTTTGTTATTAGTTTAAATGCCGAAAATCTGTTTCAATTTAACTTACTGCATCATAATAAAACGCAACTTCGTAAACGTAATGCAAACCGACAATTAAATCTCAAGATCTACCCACGGAGAAGGAACATTACGTACGGTCGAGCGAGTTGACGTTCGCACAGCTACATTTTATATCATATTGATAAATCCTAAGTTCTTTTCTAAAATCATATTTTAAAACAAACTAATTATAATTTGTTTGTGATTACATCCCCATAATTGGGTAAGTTGTGCACTTATCGTATTTATTAGTTTAAGTAGTAGTTGTAAGTAGAAATGCATATTGCTTTGCTTTGCTTTGTCATTTTCTTGTAATATTTTCTTGTCATTCACATCATCCGTTAAATCTTTATTACACCACGATATAATTTCTAAATATTGATTTATTATAATATTCCATTGTAATGGTTATTGAGATAATACTAGTATCATTACCTACTTTAGCTAGAAATCATTGTTAGTACCTAGTAAGTATTATAAAATTAGATTTAAGTAACCGTCCTTCTGCTTTTGTTATAAACCTTGACTGCCTCATCAAGATATCTAGATATGTTGGTCGTTTACATCACGCTTTGCCTTACCCCGCTGTTTGGGATCACAGTAGATGTTGCAGTCAGGGTGAAGAATTGGACATTTTAGTAATTGTCTGTTTAATGGTAATTTCCAGGGAATTTAGTTCTGGATTTGGAACATAGCAAGATATTCCAAATATATCGTTGGACAATCGCGTGTGCATAATAACACCGTACTGCTATTACTACCGCTACAGCTGCCGTCACGTCGTTTGCACTTCATCTCTGCTCCAGTTACCCTCAACTCATAAGGACGGTATCGTGATTAAACGTTCCAACTACAGAGTGACCTTTAGATTCAGAACCAAACCACAGCCCTGAGACTACATTAAAGAAAATATACATATTTGTTGTTATTTTAAATTCTATATTCTAATAAAGATTTTCTTTATAACACAACCGTATAGATTATTTTTTATTTATTTTTCTTAGTCTGGATATAGTAACATACAACGTAACACTCTCAACTCCTCAACCCATACCATAAATGGAGCGGATGACCCTCTTTTCAAAATAAATACTGTATTTATATTAGCTGCTTTGCCCCATAATAAAATAACGTATGACATAATGCTATGAAAATAGCTAAAATACACAAGTTTAGCCGTTGCCACGTCTGTTAATTGTCTAATTCTTCTTACCGCATAAGCGGCAGAACAAAGTCTATTCGCTAATTTAGAAATATGAACACCCCATTGCGGTTTGGAGTCTAATGTTATACCAAGAAATACAGTATCATCAACAAAGTTAATAAGTTTATTATTCAGTACGATTTTTGAGTCTACCTTCCTTACATTGGGGAGAGTAAATTTAATACACTTTGTTTTATCTCCATTTGATAGCATATTATTAGCAGCAAACCATTTTAAGACAGAAGAGAGAGCACTGTTTACTTCGTTCATATTATTAATATGTCGGTTGACTTTAAATATTGATTAAGTATCATCGGCAAACAGAACTATGTCTGCTATTTTTCAGACCATGTAAGGAAGGTAATTTATGTAAACTAAAAATAAAAAGTACCAAGAATAGATACCTGAGGAACACCCATTTTAACACTAGAACCTTCGAACCTTACACTATTTATTTCAACAATTTGCATTCTATTATCTAAATAGGATTTCATCAACTTTAGAGCTTCATTTTTAATACCGTAATGTTATAGTTTGAGTAAGAGTGTTTCGTGATCAACGCAATCAAATGCTTTTGAGAGGTCACAGAATACACCTATAGCATCCTGTGACCTCTCCCAACAGTAAAAATGTGATTCTCAGAAACAATATTATCAATAAGAAATGATTTAGCTATACTTGGAGATGATTCTAAAGAAGAAGTAATATTAATTGTAATCTTTTGTAGACGTTACCAATTTATTATTAAAATTTAATGTAAAATCATTACCGATGGTTTTATTCTTTCCAGTTTCTTTATTTATTTATTTGATTCAATTCTTTGATTTATAAGTATTGTATCTTGATTTATTATATTATTATTTTAATTTACTAATGTTATTTTTTATGAAACCCTTAAAATTATTATTTTTATAATTAAATCTTAAGACACGTGTTTCAAGTTAGTAATGTGTATTTGTTTTCTATCTGTGAAAATCTATAAGTGGCTTATCTGTTTTAACTATGTTTATTGAACTTGAAAATAGTCTTCCAAATATAAATAAATAAATTATTACCATCTGGTTATTGTCAGGTGAATTTGATGGTTTGAACTACCCACACTCGCCGCAGATGATGGAGGTGTTCAAGGAGAAGTTTGGGCTCAGTACATTTCGTCCCAACCAGCTGCAGGTGATAAACGCGACGCTACTCGGACACGACTGCTTCGTTCTGATGCCCACTGGAGGAGGTTCGTATACGAACTGGCGAATAACACAACACGATAGTATTGAGGTTAAATTTATCAAATTTAACAATTTATGACCACTTGAAAGGCCTGGAATGTTATAAGTATTGTTATTCGCCGGTTCGCTTCAACCAATACCTTTATCAGCTTCACCCGGCCTTCCCGAGGTTGGTGCATCTTCGACATCAAAATTGCCGGATCGAAATTTAGCGAACCAGTTCTGGCACTGGCGTACTGTTCACACACCTTCTCTACACACCTCGGTCAATTTCTTTCTGGCTTGAACAGCATTTTTACCCTTTCTGTAGTAAAACAGTAAGATATGTCGAAAATGCTGCTAATGGCTATATTCAAAAGGGCACCAACCAAAAACTACTGCGTAGAATTAATTGTAATTTTTCACACACAAGCCTTGCTATATGAGTTCCCAAAGCATATAAAAATTATACGGCTTAAGTGTGAAGTTGAGTGCAAAAACGAAACGAGTGGAAAAAACGAAATTACTTTCCGAGCAACCTAATATATATAGTAGTATATTGTGAGCCGCGAATGTAAAAGGAAACGAACCCGCGATAATCGGAAATAAAGCTGTGCGCTGAACCTCTAGACCACCTAGGCCGTCATTAGAATTAAACAGTAAAAACTGAGATGCTGTTTTGTATACTCAAATACAATAGCGTATCATTGGTTGAAGATATATGAATTGTTTTGCAGGCAAGTCCCTGTGTTACCAACTACCTGCGTTGTTGACACCAGGCGTGACGATCGTGATATCGCCACTCAAGTCGCTTATACTGGACCAGGTCAACAAGTTGCTGTCCCTAGATGTGAGTATTTGTACTATTAATTGTACTACGTAACATGTATTTATATTAATTTGTTTAATCCGCATTATAACGGAATTATATAAATGGGAAATGGGAAATGGAAGGCCATTTCCCATTTCCCATTTATATAATTCCACAAAAGTATACACCTAATTCAATAAAATGTATTCTCTTTGTAATGCGTTTACTTAATCTATGATAGCTTTGTCTATGTCAGTCAGTGTGTGTAGGCAGTGCCGGTTTTAGCACTACCAGCGCCCTGGGCGAGATTCATACGGCGCCCCCCTCCTATTTTACTCGCGCCTTCTAACTGCAAACTCATTCGAAAAAAACTGGCCAAGCACGAATCGGATTCGCACTCGAAGGGTTCCGTACCAGCAAACAAAAAAAACTTAAAGTACCCTAACCCCCTATTTTTTTAAGATTTTATCACAAATGTTCAATTTCAGATTTATTCCTGTACTTGTGATGTATAACGATGTTACTTGCCAAATCTAATGGTTCTGGGTCATTTTGCACGATTCCTTCAGATCCTCTCCGGAATATTAAATGTAACTGTACTGAATTTTGTAATTTTGAGTTCGATTTACACCCAAATATATCTTTGTTTACTATCCAATTCGGTGTTGTTAGATTTCTTGGCCTCGAGTAGAACATTGGTCTTCGACCCGGACAGTGGCGACCTCTAGTGGTGGTTTAATGAAGTGAAGTTCGGTCGTGAGTGAGCTAAGCTAGTGATTTAGTGTCGTAAGTAGCTGGGACGAACTGTAAGTACAATCAAGTTATTATTGGTTAGGAGTAGCTTAGATATTTATCGAATGATCCTAACGAATAATATTATTAGAAAGGGCAGTGTGACTGGTCAAGATACACAGCTGAGGTGGATCGGTCATGAATGTATCAAAGGTTCAATTACGTGCTTGGACTAATTCAACCATAGTTTTAGCCTGGTTAAAAGGAGAACCAAACCGTTGGAAGACGTTTGTCGCCAACGGCGTAACTGAAATCGTAGAGGTTTTAGACAGCAGTCAATGGTCACATATTGAGTCTAATCAAAATCCTGCTGATTGTGCGTCCCGATGATTGAGGGGAATTGATTGAGCATGGATTATGGTGGCATGGACCGCAGATGTTACATGAAACCTATTACGAGTTTCCTCTAATTGAGAAATTGTCTTTACTCAAGTAAAGACAAGTTCTCAGTATCAATACTGAGAAAAAAGCCATTAAATCTTAAAACTAAGAGTCTCAGAACGAAGTAATGAAGAACTGCCTGTCTGGGCTAAATATTCATCACTCAGTTGAAAAGAGTAATTGCTTTTTGTTTGAGGATCGTTAATAAACTGAAACATAGAAAATTGTTACCTTATTGTCTTACAGCTGCTGAATTAAATTATAGTCTCACCATTTGCCTGAAACACTGCCAAAGCTCATCCTTTCCCATTGAAATTGAACAGTTGATGAAGTGTCGATCCATCCCAAAAGGTAGTAAAATATTGTCTTTGTGTCCATTCCTAGATGATAAACATATAATAATAGCACGTGGACGTATAGAGCATAGTCAAGAAGATTATGATGCGAAACACCCTATAGTCTTGCCGCGTGATCATCATATCTCTAAATTAATTGTAGCAGATGCTCACGAGAAAACGCTGCATGGCGGACCTCAATTAATGAATAATTATATTAGAACCAGGTACTGGATTATCAACGTGAAGAGTATAATTAGACAATATATTAAGAAGTGTATTACATGTATTCGATATAGTACCTCGGGCCAACAACCCTTCATGAGTGATTTACCAAGCTCACGTATTACAGCGAGCCGTCCATTCAGTCGAAGTGGAGTTGAGTACTGCGGTCCTATCAGTGTTAGAATTTCCAAGGGTCGCGGATGTCGATGCTTAAAGGGCTATGTATGCCTTTTCGTGTGTATGGTGACACGTGCAATCCACTTGGAAGTTATAAGTGATATGACGAGTGAAGGATTCATGGCAGCTTTCAAGAGATTCGTGGCTCGTTGAGCCCACTGTCAGGAGATTTGGAGCGGCAACGCCACGAACTTTGTGGGCGCATCAAAAGTGTTTTATTTAAGGCTGAAAAGTCGAGTCGAGTTGCTCAATATTTAGCAAATACAGGAACTGAATGGCATTTTATACCACCCCGCGCTCCTAATTTCGGGGGAATCTGGGTGGCAGGAGTTAAATCAACAAAGTATTACTTGAAACATTTGGTTAAGGTGGTACCATCAAGGTACCACCTTAACCTATGAGGAGCTTTCCACATTGTTGGTCCAAGTGGAAGCATGCTTGTATCGGTTACCCACTAGTCAGGAGGATAGTTTGCCTCTCAAATTTCTTAACATGCCATTTTTTGATTGGAGAACCGCTTATTACAGTTCCAGAAAATAATTACATGAACCATAATAACAGTATGTTGCGTAGATGGCAACTCATGCGGAAACTTACTCAAATTTTCTGGCGTAAGTGGTCAAGAGAATATTTCACAATACTTTGCAAAAGGTATAAATGGACCAAAGTTACTCCTGAACCTCAAATAGGCCAAGTTGTTTTAATTAAAGAGGATGATCTTCCTCCAAGTACATGGTTGTTCGGTCAAATTGAGGAAAAGCACCCTGGTCCAGACAATATAACTAGAGTTGTCACCTTGCATTGTAAAGGAATTTTTTTAGGACGGCCATAAGTTGGACTATAAGACGTTTAATGGTTATCCATTCATTACTGGACACCCTGTCTAATATAGGACGAAAACGAATGATCACCCCAGCAGTACGCTCCGGTAAAGAGCATAGATTCGAGGCCCGTATCTGGCGGGTCGCCTATAGGTTCGCGGAAGATGCTCATACATGGTCGCTCGAACATGTCTAATGGCAGCTAATATAATTTTTCAGATCCCGGCAGCACACTTGAGCGGCGATATGAGCGCTGCGGAAGCAGACGAGGTGTACCACAAGCTGTCGATGCGCGAGCCGCTACTGAAGCTGCTCTACGTTACCCCGGAGAAGATCTGCAGCTCGCCCAAGTTCCAAGATGTCCTCACCGCTCTCTACTCGAGGGATAAGATCGCTAGGTAATCTAATGGACTAATATATCCTTCCTTTGACAATTCACACAGCGCCATCTAGTCCTAGGCTAAGCGGAGCTTGTGTTTGTTTCACGGGTACTAGACAACTTATATTATGCGGACCGCTGCCCCCGGGAGTCGAAGGGCGCGTCGGCAGGCACCAGTCGCTGGTACGCCCGGACGTTGACCTACCCTCTTCGGGGTGAGAGAGTAACTATTGCAAAGCATTCTCTACATAAAGGACCTCAATCAACGCCGCGGGCGCGTTGCTGGTGAAGGACCAGGTGCACTAGGCACCACTGTGAGTCGTTCTCAGAAGGACGTTGGGCGAAGCGATAAACTATGCGATGGACAGTGAACGTTGAAGGCGATGTGAAGAAATAAAACGATACGACTTGATTGATGCAGCTATGTGGCGAGGAGACTTGTTTTTTCTGCGATAATCTATTGCTGTTATTTACTGTTCGCTCTCTATGGAGGTCACTGGCGTTATTCCATCATAACTCGGAAGGACGCTACTTTTATACGTTTTCTTGGCCGCTGGCCAACGGACCATCGGCAAACTTGTCTCCTCGCCCCCTCTGTTTATTTTTATTATATTTCAATTAATTTACAATCTATGGAATCAATGTTTATGCTGGGTAGGGAACATTCATTTTATCATTATTTGTGCGCTGCGCGGCGTGTAGTTTAGGAATAATCCACGATTCCGCCGGTCGCGGCTTGTATATGACCCCGCTCTCCTTCCCCCGGGTATATATATATATATATATATATATATATATATATATATCGCGCAGAGAGCGGGGTCGCGCGTCAGTCGTCCGAAACTGCCGCGCAACGCACATTACAATGTTTTATTCTATTTCTAGGTCTATTGCGCCCATTTGGCGCCTATAATACACATAATAGACCCTATTTATGTTTTTTTTATATAACACAGGGGACATACAAGCATGCGGCGATGGTAAGTGATTACCGCCGCCCATGAGCACCCGCAACACCAGGGGAATTGCAAGTACGTTGTCGGCCTTTAAAAAAGGAATAAGCCCTTTTCTTGAAGGTTTCAATATCGTATCGGTTCGGAAATACCATTGCTGGAAGGTGATTCCACAATGTGGTTGTGCGTGGCAAAGTTTCTAGAAAAGCGCACTGTGGAAGACCGCCATTCATCCAGATGATCAGGATGGTATTTCAAGTTCTGGCGGGTGGTACGGTGGTGAAACTCAGCAGCTGGTATTAATCCGAACAATTCCTCAGAACACTCCCCGTGATATATGCACAGAGGGTAGAAAATGCACAGACATGCAATATCTCGCCGCAAAGCCAATGGGTCTAGTCTGTTACATAGACGTTGATTACCACTGATTCTGGCTACTCGGATCTGAATGCGGTCAAATGGAAGTAGCTGGTATTGGAATGGTAATGGAAGTAGCAGAGATGAGAACAGTGTTCCATATGCGGCCGGATCTGCACTTTGTATAATTACAAGCGATGGGCCGCCGTGAAATACCGTCTCAGTCTACTGAGCACACCAAGCTTTTTTGAGGCTATTTTAGCCTTGTCCTCCAAATGACCGCAAAACTGAACGTCACTGGACATATCAACGCCAAGGACCTCGAGATTTGGCTTCACATCAAGGAGAGTGTCTTGAAACTGAGAAGATACGATAAATGGATTCTTTTTAGCGGTAAACGCGCAAACTTGTGTCTTCTTGGGGTTGCATTGAACACGATTTTCCTGACCCCAAACCGAAACTTGATGGAGTGAAGTTTCGATTTCAGACACAAATTTGTTCCGATACTCTATAATTTTTGCCTGCGACATATTAGTATGGCCGCTATACAAGGCATCTCCGGTACTGTCATCCGCATAGCAATGAATGTTGTTGATTTGTTACATGTCATTGATATGCAGAAGGAACAGAGTCGGAGATACAAGAAGAGCACACAGCCTTGTGGAACACCAGCATTCACAGAGTGTGGGTCGGAGCAAGCACCATCGACACCGATCTTGATGCTCCGATCAGCGAGAAAGCTGGCGACCCATTTGCATAACTTCGCAGGCAACCCGAAGGATTGTAACTTTAAAAGAAGAGCTTTGTGCCACACCTGATCAAAGGCCTTCGCAATATCCAGACTAACAGATAGGGCCTTCCCCTTACTCTCAATGGCTTCTGCCCATCGATGCGTCAAATACACTAGAAGATCACCAGCTGAGCGACCCTAACGAAAGCCATACTGACGATCAGAAATCAACTGGTTCACTGATCAGCACCCGTTCACAAGTATGACAGAATAAAGGTAATACGAGCTGAACTTCTTGTCAGTTCTTCTCATCTGGAAATCACTCCAAACTGACGGAGATTTAATATCATAAGAGTCTGTAATAGATCTACATGAATAAAGATTTTTTAATTATTCGAGGCATCCAGAACTATACAATGGTCCATCGAGCCAATATAGAAGTTTTTTAAGTTAAGAATATCGGTGACATTGAGGTGTCGCCAGGTCGCCGTTATGGTATTGGTGTGGTGTTCAGGTTCGTGGTAGACGAGGCGCACTGCGTGTCGGCGTGGGGGCACGACTTCCGGCCCGACTACAAGCGACTGCACGAACTGCGGCGGAGGTTCCCGCGCCCTCCCCTCATGGCGCTCACAGCCACCGCCACTCTGCGCGTGCGCGTCGACATCCTCCATCAGCTACAGGTACCACCGCACCGACATCCTCCACCAGCTACAGGTACCACCGCACCGACATCCTCCACCAGCTACAGGTACCACCGCACCGACATCCTCCACCAGCTACAGGTACCACCGCACCGACATCCTCCACCAACTACAGGTACCACCGCACCTTCGAGAAGGTTCCCGCGTCCACCGCTCATGGCGCCCACATACCCAACATACCCAAACACACAAACTTTACCTTTTTGTAATACTAATCAACACTTGATTAAAGCCAATTTTGTCCCTACAACAAAAATCATCTTGTATATTTAGAATATTGTATATGTATAATGAATAGAATATGAAAGCGATCTCATAGTGAATTTGGCTCTAGGTGACCAAATGCAAATGGTTCATGTGCAGCTTCAATCGGCCGAACCTCATTTACAAGATACTGAAGAAGAAAGCAAAAACAGTCAACGACGAAGTTGCTGCGGTTATCAAGGAGAAGTATTTCAGGTAAATTTGGAACTTGTGTACATACTACAGCACTTTGGAACCGTTTCGCTGTCTTAATTCTAAGTAACAGAACATCATACCATTGTACGGTTCTATTTCAAAAACAGAACATCAGTTGGTGTTCTATATTTGAATCACCAGTTTTTTCTTTAGCCAATACCTAATGGCTTTTCTTAATGTTAGTAGTGTTTTTTAATAGCCAGTTCCAATTATTGACTTTGTAATATACTTCATATATGAGAATACAATACTGTATAATTACAATGTGATGTAACGATTTACTTCGTGATATATTATACAGACAGTCGGGCATCGTGTACTGCCTGTCGCGCAAGGAGTGCGACGAGCTGGCGACGTCGCTGCAGCGCGTGGGGCTGCAGGCGGCCTCCTACCACGCCGGGCTCTCCGACAAGCAGCGCGGGGCCGTGCAGGCCGCCTGGCTCGCGGACAGGCACAAGGTGGTACGTACTGGTACGAGGTGGTACGTACAGGTACCAGGTGGTACGTACGGGTACCAGGTGGTACGTACGGGTACCAGGTGGTACGTACGGGTACCAGGTGGTACGTACGGGTACCAGGTGGTACGTATGCAGCCCGCGCCGCGTGCAGCCGCCTGATACAAGGTGATACGTACGCAGCCCGCGCTACGTGCAGCCGCCTGCAACCATCTATAATAGTATAATTAAGTAACGTCACCTGTTTCCCCAGATCTGTGCGACGATAGCGTTCGGCATGGGCGTGGACAAGGCGGACGTGCGGTTCGTGATCCACCACAGCCTGCCCAAGTCGGTGGAGGGCTACTACCAGGAGGCGGGCCGCGCCGGCCGGGACGGCGAACCTGCACTCTGCCTGCTCTACTACTCCTATGGCGACGTCGTGCGCTATCGCCGCCTGCTGGCCAGTGAGTCACACACTACACGACACTAAGTCTCGTAACACATTGTCGTGCCAAACACTACCAACGACAGGCATCACCATATCAACAGAAAAAAAGAAAAGACTACCGCCGCCTGCTGGTCGCATGTATGTGTGTGTGTCGCATCCCACACTACACTAGGTCTCATAACACCGCGTGCGCTGCAAAAAGTATTGATACTTTTTGCAGCGCACGCGGTGTTAGGTATTTTTTATGTAATATTTTTACACCTTGGGTTATATTATTGGAATTTTAGTAAGGATCCCTAATTTTTTTTAATATTATTGTTAGATGTATATACTTATATATGTATTTATTATATATATGCTTCCTCACAGATTACGGTTTAATAATAGTTTAGTTATCAAATATATGTAGATTGACACTATTGTAAGAAAATATTAAAAGGCCATACAATTCTGCAAACGTACATATTATTTATTAGTTAACATATCATCTCAACACAAAAGAACCCCAACACAACATCTGGCGACTGTGACTTTGTGTTAAAATGTTGAGATTAAAAAAATCAAGAACTAATTTACGCCGATTATTCACAAAGACTGGTAACCAGTTATCAGAGTTATTAAAGGAATCCATACCAAATAATGCGGAAATAAAGGTCTGTCATTCACTATTTAAAAGTAAAGCCGATGAATTATTTAAAGTAGACAAAGATATTTACAATGAATGGGTGAATGACGAAGAAACAAATGAAGAAGAATTTTACGCAGATTGTGAAACGACCGATGAATTTTTGATTGAATGCATTACTCTAGATAATATGTACCAAGAACTAATACAAGAGCAGAATAAACATCAACCTGCCTCTCAGTTACCAGTCGTATCACCTGAGAGACAGAATATAAGTCCAAGAACTTAAAATAGAGATGATAATGAACAGAGTGTGAGCAATTATAAAAGTACGAGAATTCTAAAGAATTCACACGATCTGATTGTCAGCAGAGATTCGATAAATAAAGAAAGAGGCGAAAGAGTCGGGTTAGCCATGTCAGGTATATAGGTTATGTGAAAGAAGTTAATGAACTGACAATGGAATATATTTCATCGGGTATGAGTAAGAAATACGAGGGAGATAAAAATATAGAAAAAGACGTAAGGAAACATTCTTTGAGGAATGAAATGACTAGTTACGACTATAAACAAAAGTAAGAAGAACAAAGACTAGATACAATTTTGACATCCGATGATTATGAAGAAGTGGAAAATAAATCAGTAATGATTATACAAAGAGAATATTTTCAAGTGAATGACGAGTTTAAGAGACTGAAAAAACAAGACTATTTTTACAGATGAAAAGGATATGATAAGAATGAAAACTAAACTAATTCTGAGTCAAGAGGAAAATAGAGATTTTAGATATTTAATAACCATCGAGTAGTGTAATTCTATTTCATCCAGTTCAAGACAAGCATATCAGCTGGAAATTTAAGCCACCGGTGGAGGGGAAGTTGGGTGGAAAGATGGTATCATTGGTGAGAATGATGGTACTCTTGGATGGAAAGATGGTACGCTTGGTGGGAAAGATGGTACCCCTGGTGGGAAAGATGGTACCCCTGGTGGGATGGAATCGAAGCTCATTTGCTGTAGACTATCCGAAGAGCACTTTATGTCTGCGGGAGGATGTTAGGTGTGTATACGGCCTCCTCACCGATTACGGTTTAATAATAGTTTAGTTGTCAAATATAGATTGACACTATTGTAAGAAAATATTAAAAGGCCATACAATTCTATAAACTTACATATTATTTATAAGTTATCATATCACCTCAACACAAAAGAACCCCAAAACAACAATAATATATATTGCCTATGTCACTCAGGGATAGTGTAGCTACCTAATGGTGAAAGAATTATTCAAATCGGTTTAGTAGTTTCGGAGTCTATTCAATACAAACATACACACAAAAATGCAAATCTTTCCTCATGCATTGCTATTTTGGAGGACTAAGCTGTCTCTATAATAATATTTTATCACATACAAAGTGAGTCGGTGACTGAAATCAGTCGAGACTCGTCTCACTTATTTAGGTGAGACGAGGTATCGACACAGACGACTTTGTACAAAGTATGGTGGTGGTTGTACAGGGGAGCAGAACACGACAGAGGACACACGACGTGTGCACGAGGAGAACCTGGCGCGGATGGTGGAGGTGTGCGACAGTGTGGCCGAGTGTCGCCGCGCGCTAGTGCTCGGCTACCTCGGGGAGCGGTACGACCGCCGACACTGCCTCGCCGCCGCCGCCTGCGACAACTGCCGCGCGCAGCATCGGTTCAAGGTACCCGGTTCTATTCTCCACTCGCCTACCTCGGGGAGCGGTACGACCGCCGACACTGCCTCGCCGCCGCCGCCTGCGACAACTGCCGCGCGCAGCATCGGTTCAAGGTACCCGGTTCTATTCTCCACTCGCCTACCTCGGGGAGCGGTACGACCGCCGACACTGCCTCGCCGCCGCCGCCTGCGACAACTGCCGCGCGCAGCATCGGTTCAAGGTACCCGGTTCTATTCTCCACTCGCCTACCTCGGGGAGCGGTACGACCGCCGACACTGCCTCGCCGCCGCCGCCTGCGACAACTGCCGCGCGCAGCATCGGTTCAAGGTACCCAGTTCTATTCTCGGTTATGAATTAATTTTCGTAGTAGTCGCGATGTTCTGTTAATTCTAAGGTCATCACCGATAACTTTAGTACAAATTGCACTCGATCAATTTTTAAATTATTTTACACTTGCTGCTCGCCCCGGCTTCGCCCGGATGTTTATGTATTATATTATGTATATAAACCTTCCTCTAGAATTACTCTATCTATTTAAAAAACCGCTTCAAAATCCGTTGCGTAGTTTTAAAGATTTAAGCACACATATATCGCTACACATATATCGCAGCTAGCGCTGTCTAGCTAGACAGCGATAGCGACTTTATTTTATACTATATAATGATAATTTAATCAAAAGTCAGTTCCAGTAATTAACTAAAATATTATAAAAAAGGACTACAAACATAAAAAACCAATCTGAAATTAGAACTCTTTCAAATAAAAGAAGTGTTTTTTAAATCAAATAAATACAGCCGAATTAAAACCTAGTTATTGAAGTCGCTAGCGGAAAATAATAAAAAAAAACTATTTTTTTTAGTTATTGATATGCTTCCGTCCAGAGATGAAAACAGTATTCCATATTCCGGGTCTACGCCTTGTATAATTGCAAGCGATGATCTACTGAGCACACCAAGCTTTTTAGAGGCTATTTTAGCCTTGTCCTCCAAATGACCGCAAAACTGAACGTCACTGGATATATCAACGCCACGGACCTCGAGATTTGCTTCACGTCAAGGAGAGTGTCTTGAAACTGAGAAGATACGATAAATGGATTCTTTTTAGCGGTAAACGCGCAAACTTGTGTTTTCTTGGGGTTGCATTGAACACGATTTTCCTGACCCCAAACCGAAACTTGATGGAGTGAAGTTTCGATTTCAGACACAAGTTTGTTCCGATACTCTATAATTTTTGCCTGCGACATATTAGCATGGCCGCTGTACAAGGCATCTCCGGTACTGCATAGCAATGAATGTTGTTGATTTGTTACATGTCATTTATATGCAGAAGGAACAGTGTCGGAGATAGCACACAGCCTTGTGGAACACCAGCATTCACAGAGTGTGGGTCGGAGCAAGCACCATCGACAACGATCTTTTTGCTCCAATCAGCGAGAAAGCTGGCGACCCATTTGCATAACTTCGCAGGCAACCCGAAGGATTGTAACTTTAAAAGAAGAGTTTTGTGCCACACCCGATCAAAGGCCTTCTCGCAATATCCAGACTAACAGATTGGGCCTTCCCCTTATTCTCAATAGCCTCTGCCCATCGATGTATCAAATACATTAGAAGATCACCAGCTGAGCGATCCTGACGAAAGCCATACTGACGATCAGAACTCAACTGATTCACTTCTAGGTATCGTATGAGTTGACGGTTTACAATCGACTCCATGGTTTTTGAGAATAAGAAGGTGATGGCTATGGGTCTATAGTTAGCTGGATCTGAGCGATCTCCCTTCTTAGGGAACGGGTGAACCAAAGCCGACTTCCAAAAGTTCGGGACTACACCTGTAGAGTAGCAATACCGGAAAAGACGCGTTAGTACCGGAGCCAACTCAGGTGCACACCTCTTGAACACAATAGCAGGAATACCGTCAGGCCCACTCGATTTATGGATATCTAAGGAGAAAAGAGACTTAAGTACCAGCTTTTGGGTAAATTTTACCTCTGGCATAAAAGTCTCACACCGCGAGATGACCGGCGGTGATTGCTCCCTATCGTCCAGTGTCGAGTTGGATGCAAAAAGAGAACCAAGGAGATCGGCCTTCTCTTTGGCATGTTGGGCCAACAAGTTATCCTCTCGGCGCAGTGGTAGAAAAGATGGCTGACAGAAATTTCCCTGAGCAGCTTTAGCAACAGACCAAAAAGCCCGGGATCCAGATGAAGTTTTTTACCAATTCTGCTGATGTGCTCCGACTTTGTTGTGGTTATAATGTCTTTTGAAGGACCTGGAAGCAGAGTTATAGTTCCTTTTAAGGGCACTGGTTTCTGGATCACTCGGCTTCACAGCTGCAATCCAGGCACGGAAGCATTCCTGCTTATGGCGAGGCGCTGATCTACAGGATCCGCCATACCAGGACTGAGTGGGAATTTGGAATAAATATCTCCATTCCCAGTATCGGGGACAGATGCAGCTGTTACATCAGGATCGTCCAGTGCCAAGCAAACTCGCCCCCATGGGTAAGATGCAAAAAAACTTCGCATCTCATCCCAATCTGCCGACTTAAAATGCCAAACACGACGTTGACCAGTAGATCGTGGCAAAGAACTTTGCTCCGTATCAGACAATGATCAGAGGATCCCAGTGGGGCTTCCACAGAGATCTGATATACGTCCGAATGCGAAGTCAGCAGAAGGTCCAACAGTGAAGGTATATGGTTAACAACATCAGGAATTCGTGTAGGCGAGGATACCAGTTGCGTCAAACCATACGCCACTACGCTGCCAACACTTTGGACATTACGTAGATTAAAAAAATTATAATTATCTATTCAAAAATGCTTCGGTTTAAGTTTATTTGAATAAATGATTTTCTATTCAAATAAATTTAAACTGAAGCATTTTTTAATAGACATCACTAATTTTTTTATAAATGTAAAATGTAAATATAATGTAAAAATAAATGATTTTCTATTGTTTTGTCTTAGCCGGTGGACGTGACGGAGGATTCGTGTGCGATCGTGAGCTGCGTGCAGTCGTACAGCGCGCGCTACACACTGATACAGCTCGCGGCCGCGCTGCGAGGCTCTCGACAACGACGGCTCTCCGCACTCACACAACACTCCATACACGGACGGTATGACGGTTTTTTTTATATAACAAAGGTGGTGTAATTAATCTATTGTTTAACAATTATATTGTGTTTAATAACTATATACATATACAGGATGTCCCAGAAGTCAACGTCAAGCGTCATGGGGGTAATCAGAAAAATATAAAAAATAATCCATGTAATTTTTTTTAATGTTATGAAGGTTTAAAATTTTTTCTAAAAAACGGACACCCTGTAATGAACTTTCTAGTCCTGACTGTAAATATTAACTTTTTGGATATTTTTTTTCTGTAATGTAATTATGAAAAACCGTGCTGTAATTCACAATAAAAAAAATTGCATGCAAGCTGCCTTACATTTAAGTAAAAAGTTAAATTTGTATACATTGAATTAAAAATAATTTCATTAACCAACTTAAACCAGCTGTACTGTAAAAAAATGTATGGCTACTATTTTGGCAAGTACATCAAAAAGTTGACGCATTTAGTCAAGATTCTAAAATGGTACAACACATGCTAGGTTTTGTCATAGTTCAGGCATGAAAATGAGTTTTCATGATGAATCCGGATTCTATGCTAATCTATTTCTTGAGGTGAAATGTTGGTAACGCAACCTTCTTAGGTAAATCCAGGTTAAAATCTTTTTGAATAGAGATGGACTCATAATTTTGAAAAGAGAACCTATCTAAACAGGTGGATTGAATACAGTGAGTGGGACGGAATTACGAGTGCGCTCCTGCTCTCGCGTTGCGCTGGCAGTTGTCGCACAGCTGTGTTGCGTAAATAACGTGTGTTGCTACAATGAAAATGTTTGCCGTGGTTTATGGACGCCTAAAACGATAGAGAGGTGTCGCGTGCAAGCCGATTTATACTCAGGTGTTATATACACAGTGCGCGGCCGGCGTTTTAATTAGAATGGTTAATTTTATATTAAATCTGTAAAACGTTCAATATGTTCTTGCGCCAGCTGCGATTCACATTTTATACAGTGTCACACCTTTTTAGTTAACGCGCTTTTCTGTGTGCCATGACCTATGTAGTTGAAGGCATTCGGTTTTCTGTTTAAACCGTAACGAACTAGCGTGAACATAGATAAAGAACACAGATAAGTATAGGAGTAATTGAGCTGGTGGCTCGACAGATGCAAGTCGTGGAACGTGAACGACGTGCAGCGCCTGCTGCGACACCTGGTGGGGCGCGGACTGCTGCACGAGCGGGTGGTCGTCAACAACGACATGGCCAGCGCCTACCTCCAGCCCGGACCGCACGCGCACAAGTACCACCTCAAATATGTACACATAAAACATGGCCTCGGTTCGATTCCACGCACGGCACATTTATAGTATGAATATAATTGTTTACATTTGCACATTTATACAGTTTATTACATTATTAGCGTATTACTCAAGCCGGCGTAAATTCGATTTCCGTGTGAATTATACAGGGACCGATCGAAGGAATACGGGGGAGATGGAGGAAGTATACATTTATAGCGAAAATGTTCTATTTAATAAAACAGAGTGGTGTTCTGGTAGATTGATGTCGAAGGGGCAACGCGTATTGTTCCCGATGAACTGCGAGGAGAAGACGAGAGACGACGGCAGTGTGGCGCGCGGTGGAGACACGGGACAGTCTCCCGTACACGCGCTGCTGCAGCGCATACAGGAGCGGTGCTACGCCGACCTGGTGGAGGCCTGCAGGTCAGTGTGTGTGTGTGTGTACAGGGAAAGGGCGAGGCGCGCGGGGTGATGTTGACGGTGATGCTGCAGTGCGTGTGTGTATGTATGTATGTGTACAGGGAGATGGGCGGAGCGAGCGGGGTGACGCTGACGGCGGTGCTGCAGTGTGTGTGTATGTGTACAGGGAGATGGGCGAGGCGCGCGGGGTGACGCTGACGGCAATACTGCAGTGCGTGTGTGTATGTATGTATGTGTACAGGGAGATGGGCGAAGCGAGCGGGGTGACGCTGACGGCGGTGCTGCAGTGTGTGTGTATGTGTACAGGGAGATGGGCGAGGCGCGCGGGTTGACGCTGACGGCAATACTGCAGTGCGTGTGTGTATGTATGTATGTATGTGTACAGGGAGATGGGCGAGGCGCGTGGGGTGACGCTGACGGCGGTGCTGCCGCAGGCTGCTCTGAAGGCGATGAGTTCTCAGCTGCCGGAGACGTCGGAGGCCCTGCTGTCGTTGCCGCACATCACGCGCGCCAACTACGACAAGTACGGAGCCGCGCTGCTCAAGATCACCTCCACTTACGCCAACGAGAAGTGGGGTGAGGGGGCCGTTCAATTTTAGCTCTGATATGATACTACAATACGTAGAATAATGAAATGCTAGCTCTCAGTGAGCTTTATAATCGTTAATATTTTCTGGTAATACTTTGGGGGTTCACCTGGGCTAGTGTGAGTGAGTCTACTCAGTCACTAGGTTGCCTAGTGGTCGAAGATCGACCATAATAATAATAATAAATCTTTATTTCTTTATCAAAATTAAATAAAAACTAAGAATTACTCAGGATTATTTTATCATATATACCATCAGACGCGGACTCGCGTACACACACATATCGACGCAACTTAGTAGATTACAATACTACGAAACGAGAGATTGTTTTTGCAGCAACCATTTGCACCTAAATATTGGTAAGGATAAAGTCAGTGATGAACGAACTGACGGAGGCAAGTCGTTCCAAATTTTTTCTGCAGCATACAACAAAAAAACAACCTCTAGTTCTTGTGAATTTAACGAAAGGTTAGAAAAATAGATTTAGAAGACATCTGTCTCTGAGGGAATCTATTTTAGATTTATAAACACTAGTTTTTACATATAAATATGAAGGTAATTTTATATTCCTGATGGAGTGCAAAAGTCAAGCATACTTTAAAATACAAACATTGTGTGAATTTAATTATTTTAATAATTTTTGAAAAATGACATGTGATTGTGCTGATCGAATGGGAAATGATAAGGAGTTCCAGAGACGACTAGCCTGTACAGTAAAAGAATCAGTGTAATATTTACAAGAATGAAATGGGAAGGTAAGACTTAGGCTTCTTGTGCTACGTAATTCAGAACCCGGAAATTTAGTACGGAACTGGAAGTTCTGTTTTAGGTATTCAGGAGTATGAGGGTGGTAGAGGATTGTATAAAGCAGGGATAGTATAATAGTAGTTCTTGCAAAGACGAATGGGAAGCCACTTGAGTTGTTTGTGAAATTGAGATCATCATCATCATCATCATCATCATCGCAGCCCGGAAGACGTCCACTGCTGGACATAGGCCTCCTCAAAGATCTCCACGACGATCGGTCCTGCGCTGCTCGCATCCAATGCCTTCCAGCGATCTTGACCAGATCGTCGGTCCACCTTGCTGGAGGCCTTCCCACGCTGCGTCTTCCGGTCCGTGGTCGCCACTCGAGGACTTTACTGCCCATCCCCACTAACGGCCATCTGTCCTACGAGCTATGTGCCCTGCCCATTGCCACTTCAAAGTCGCAATTCTTCGGGCTATGTCGGTCACTCTGGTTCTTCTGCGGATCTCCTCATTTCTGATTCGATCACGCAGAGTAACTCCGAGCATAGCCCTCTCCATTGCCCTCTGAGAGACTCTGAGCTTGTTGATGGGGCCCATAGTTAGCGACCACGTCTCTGTTCCGTAAGTCATCACTGGCAACACACATTGGTCGTACACCTTCGTCTTGAGACACTGCGGAAATTTGGACGAAAAGATATATCGGAGCTTCCCGAACGCTGCCCATCCGAGTTGGATTCGACGATTGACCTCTTTCTCGAAATTGGATCTACCTAGCTGGATTAGGGCTAGTTTGCCCTAAATATACGTAGTGATCGACAATTTCGAGTGTAGAATCACCGATTTTTACGGGAGCAGGTACGACATGGACGTTTGACATAATTTTCGTCTTGTCCATGTTCATTTTAAGACCTACTCCTTGTGAGACTCTACTGAGGTCTTCGAGCATTTTGCTAAGGTCTTCCAGGGTCTCAGCCATGACCACGATATCGTCGGCAAATCGAAGGTGATTGATGTACTCGCCGTTAATGTTGATGCCCAGCCCGCTCCAGTCCAGAAGCTTGAAGACATCTTCCAACGCAGCGGTAAACAGCTTTGGCGATATGACATCGCCTTGTCTGACACCTCGGTGCAGTTGGATAGGCTTCGAGTTCTGGTCGTGGAGGCGAACTGACATAGTGGCGTTTTCATACAAACATTTCAACGTTTCGATATATCGATAGTCAATTTGGCACCGCTGGAGAGACTGTAGCACAGCCCACGTCTCGATCGAATCAAAGGCTTTTTCATAGTCCACAAACGCCAAGCAAAGTGGCAGGTTGTATTCTTCGGTCTTCTGAATTACCTGCCGCAGCGTATGAATGTGGTCTATGGTACTAAAGCCTTTTCGGAACCCGGCTTGTTCGGGAGGCTGAAACCTGCGCGCGAGACGATTCGTGATGACTCTCGAAAACAACTTATAAACATGGCTCAGCAGTGTAACGGGTCTGAAATTCTTCAGAAGCGATTTGTCTCCCTTCTTGAAAAACAGAACCACGACACCCCCTTGCCATGCTTGAGGCGTTTTGCCCTCGAGGATGACGGAGTTGAATAGCTTCTGGAGGATTCGTAGAACAGGTCTACCTCCAGCCCTCAGAAGCTCAGCAGTAACTCCATCATCGCCCGGCGCCTTGTTGTTTTTAAGTTGTTTAAGAGCCATACCAATCTCGTACAGGCTGAAAAGTTCGGTATAGTGTCGTTTAGACGAAACGATTGTCGTGTATAACTGCCGTCATCCGTCTTAAGTCGCGTCAGCTGGCTCTGTCCGGCAGCCAGATCCCTGTTAAAGACTTTTGAGCCCTTGTTTCTCTCGATAGCCTCCTTTACACAATTTGTGTTAAAGTGGCGTAAGTCATGAGTCAAGGACTTAGAGATCTGCCTGCTAAGTTGCCGATACTGAGAAGCGTCAGTCGGAGACTGCAGGACCATACTTCGCCTTTCATCCATCAATTTGAGGGTAGAGATAGATATTTTTCCGGTTCTTTCTGCGCGGCGGGTTTTGAAGTGTTTAGACCCAGCCGCACGGACAGTTTCCACGAACCTGTTGTTGTAATCGTCCACGTCAACGCAGTCACCAAGGCTTTCGAAACGGTTTTGCAATTCTAGCTGAAAGCTTTCGAGGTTTTGGATCTGTATAGGTGTAGGGCGGAGCGTAGATTTCATCAGTCGGGATCGTTCGAGTTTCAGATTCAGATTCAATGTGCCTCTTACAATCCGGTGATCACTTCCAATTTTGACGGCATTGATCACAGAGACATCATTGAAAATCTGTCTTCTCGTTGACAAGATGAAATCTATCTCGTTTTTTGTGGCACCATCGGGACTAATCCACGTCCATTTCCGGTGTTCCGGCTTCCTGAAGAAGGAGTTCATCATAAAGAGGTTCTCCTTCTCCATGAAGTCGGCCAGCATTTGACCTCGGAAGTTCCGATCACCGATACCAAATTGCCCCACTCTCAGCTCATCACCGCTTCGCTTGCCCAATTTTGCGTTAAAGTCCCCCATGATAACGTTATAATGAGTCTTTGTACTATGTATGGCTCTGGAGATATCGTCATACATAGCCTCAACCTCATCGTCGGAATGCGTCGAAGTTGGAGCGTACACTTGGATGACCTTCAATGAATACCGTTTGGTAATTCTGAGTATCAGGTACGCTACCCTAGTCGACACGCTCTCGACCTTGATAACATTATTCACAAGGGACTCGTGGACGAGGAACCCGACACCGCCTTGGGACAGTTGATCGCCCTCCCGGAAGTAAAGCAGATTGCCCGATTTCAGGACTATCGAGTCCTCCCCCTTTCTTCGGACTTCAGATAATCCCACGACATGCCAGTGCAATCTGCTCAAGTCTTCCTCCAGTTCAGTTAACTTTTCGTCGGTCCGCAGTGTTTGAACGTTGTATGTTGCCAGGGCCAGTGGTCGTCGTTTGTGGTAGCCTGGTCTTACCCGGAGATTCTTCGCACCCCCTGCCCCGCCGTTTCCATGACCGCTACCATGGTCAAGACTAGCGGGGCCGCCGGGGACTGGGGGCCGGGGCCTTGGGTGTAAATCCATTTGGGGGGATATTGCCATAATCGCCACGCATGCGGGTTGGCGATCGCAGTATGATGGTAGGTACTCAGTAGGACGCTGCTGCCCGTCCACTGGTCGATGAATCCCTTAGTCGCCTTTTACGACACCCACGGGAAGAGAGGGGGTGGTGCTATTCTTACAGCGACACCACACGCCAAATTGAGATATGTGGTCATATTTACGAAGACCAAATATAAACCGTATACAAATATTTTGAGTCGCTCAAGTTTATTCAATTGTTCTTCAATAAGATTTAGATAGTAGGAATCTGTATAATCTAGGATTGGGAGTAATAACGAATTTTCGAGTGCAGTCTTGGTATCTACTGACAGGAAGTTTCGCAATCTATTTAGGCTTTCGATAGACCCAAACATTTTTCGACTTAATTGCGAAATTTGGTGCGACCAAGAAAATGTTTCGTCGAAATAAATATCCGAGGTTTTTTACTTGAACACTATATTCAATGTGATATCTGGGGCAAACCATCTCCCCCGTAAATTCAATGTCCAAGGAAATAAACAAAAGAAAGAAATAATGAAGAGTAAAGATATAAACATGCATATTAAAACGAAAACTTTCAACACTAGTATCCTACCTTGTATAACATATGGATGTGAAACATGGTCTTTGACTGAGAATCATAGGGATCGACTGGCAAAATGTCAAAGGGCAATGGAGAGAAGTATGATGGGGATCATACTAAATGACAAAATCACAAACTGGGACATCAGACAGAGAACAAAAGTTACAGATGTACTCTCTAGTATAAACCGTTTAAAATGGAGTTGGACTGGGCATATGCTAAGGTGCAAAACAAACAAATGGATCAAACAAGTGACTCTCTGGTATCTTAGTGACGGGACCAGAAGACAGGGTCGCCAAAAAACACGATGGACAGATGACATCAACCTGAGCTCAGTGGAGAGAGCTGGAGGAGGCCTATGCCAAAAGGCACACCGAGTTGCGGGACATTTTGTAAAACAGTAATTGTACCCCAACTATCGAAAAAAAGATCTATTATTATATTCATTACATTACATTATCTCTGTTATTATATTCAATGTCATGGCCATTAAAGATGGTGGGCGGGAGACTTGTTTTATTTAATTTAGATATAATATATATATTCCAATAATCAGGCATTGTGTTTTCTTTGGATTAATAATAAGGCCATAAGTTTTACTCCAATCAGAGATGTAGATGAGGTCAAGATTAATATCGCGAATAGCATCAGTGATATTGGATAAAGTGGCTTGAGAGTAGAATAGAATAGACTTCTATAATTGCAGGGACAGGTAATCGCCCAGCCAATACACAAAAGAGTAGGGGAAAGGGGGTAGAGCCGGCCAATTTTATATATTGTGACTATATTATCAAGAGAAATACAACGAAAACTACAAAAAATAATCAACAATATATTTATTCGTATTAGAATATTGAAAATTTGAACATAAATAGTATCCAATCATGATTAAACCCACTTCAATTTATGGTAAAATTTTGGTATCTTTTTAAAGCGGCGGGTAGCTCCGGCCTACCTACGTAATTACCTGGTACCTACGTAATTAGTGGCCAAATCGTTTTTAGCGACACACACATCACAGTTGCAATACAAATCCGATGGATTTATATCTGCGCATGCCTCGTGAGCCCAATCTTCACATTTATTTGCATTGGATCCAGTCCTCGTCGAATGTTTCACCACAAATCATTTTTGTGAACCGTCGATGTGTCCTGTCACGTTAGCATTATAAATTTGAGAGGCTTGAACATTAAATTTTTCATACAGGTTGAAGAGGATGTCAAAACCGCTATAGAACACATCAAGCTTGTTGCCTCTCTCAGAACATTTTTTCTCAAGCACCGCTTGAATTGCTTTTTTCATGTTTTCTTCATTGTCTCCGCGATTCGTAGTTCTAGTTTTAAATTTCGGCATTATGACACTGCAAACAAATATTTTTTGGAATGAAGACTTAAAATAATAACATCAATATATAATTATAAATATCTCACATATGGCCGGGGATACCCCCAAAACTAGTTACCCGACATATTTTCTTCAGAAAAATATACTTTTTCAAAAAACACGTAATACAATAATTTAGTAAAATAATATTCTATTACGTAAACAAAATCAAATAAATAATTACTTATGTTTGAAACAATTGAAATTACGCGGCCGTCGTCAACAAAAAACCAATTCAGTCGATTACATCCGAACGCAGTAGTCAATCGACTTCAGTGTTAGCATTTGACGAATTACTCTTAAACTCACACAGAGATCACACGAAATTCAAACTCACGCCGTGCGAAGTTCTAATATTTGCTATGGCCGAGGTTACCCGCCGGCCGGGGCTACCCCTCTTTCTCCTATATATATATGTATACACGTGTGTGTATCAAATACATGGTAGGGATGCAATGTTTTTTTTATTGATTTAAAGTGGGCTTTTAATCATAATTTAAAAAAAAAAATATTAGTATTCTGTACTCCGTCTCTACATATACTATAACGGTCTTATTACAAAAAAACTTAAAAGTCGGACGATATCAATTTTAAATTACAAGTAGGAGTCCTACACGGAGAAAAGGAACGGCGAGATATATTTATTGGATCTATTCAAATGGTGATTATTTCAAAGTCAAATAACAAATAACGTTTTTTTATATTTTTTTATTATCGTAAAATTAGCTTTAAATATTTTTAGTTAATATATTTTTTATTTAGTTAAGATATTTTTCAAAAAACAACAACTTACAATACAATTTTTAAAATGGAGTTTGTCTTTTTGCTTTTAGACCACTGTTAAACTAGGGGCATCGCAGGTCTAACTTTAGACCATAGATGAATCACGGTTTAGAGATAAACTTCTTTTTGTAATAAGAAATTAAGTGTGCGAAATTTCAGACTTCAGTCCATGCAATTTTCATAAAAAGGAGTACAAAGTTTTTGCTTTAACTTAACTTTTTATTTAGGGGTTCTTATGCAGCACGAGGATGAGCTGGATGTGAAAGAGAAGTCGGAGCCAGGGCCGAGCAGCAGTCACGGCTCGTCGTCCGCGTCCGGTTCTCGAGCCAGGAGGACTTACAGCGGCGGCGTCAGGAGGAAGTGAGCCTTTTTAACTCCCCAAAAGGAATCAAACTATAAAACATCATTTACATAGACACGAACATACTTCTCGGCCAATTATTACCCGCCAAGTATTAATTGGTTGTGAAGATCGGACCCAATGTCATGCCTTGGGAGAGACCTAAGTTTATCAAGGGACTGATGATAATGATTCTTCCGAAATGGTAACACATAAGTGTAAGAAGCACTAATTAAAGATAACTTAGGCTTTGAAGCCGGCTACCGCAACGGAAACAAGTCACGGGTGTAGGGTTAAAATTACTTTTTTAGAATGCATTAACACTCACCTTCACTACTTGCAGCTTCTCCCCAGGCCCAACTAAGACCGGGATAAAACCATTATCGTAGGTGCAGGGATACAAAAGGGTTGAGCTACTCAGTGAACAATTTACTCAACAAAAAATCACTGAGCATCAGCCGGAGGGTGGTGCGAATAAGTGATGCAACAATCATTATTACGTGCTACATACATTCTTATATCAAAAAGTGTCAGCATGTTTGACATTCCAGTTCCATAATGTGCATTATTTTGCATGCAAAATAAAGTGGATTATTTTATTAATATTGAAATTAATTTAATATTAATACCATGTTTCTTATAAATAAATACATACATTTCATCATAACTTTGTTCAGGTACAAACACAAGCAGACGTCAGACTTGAAGAAGAAAGTTGTAAGAGAGGCCGCGCGTGGCAGGGGGCGCGAGGGGCGCGCCAACGCCACACGTACGTACCTGCTCGCTTTAACCTATATTTATCTATATATATATATATTATATAATTTAGCTATTATATATTTATATTATATAATTTATTTATAAGATAATTTACCTTAATTTTATTGGATAATATAACTCGTGAATATAGAAGTCTTCAGACTTTGTAAATCTTTGTTGCAGCGAGCGGAAGCAACTTTGGCAATAAGCTCGGAAGCATGCCGGTACTGCGGCCTAACATGACCAACACCTGGACAGACTTGGCCGACATCCGACTAAACATAGAAGAACTCATGCCAAACATAGCCAACGTCCGGCTAAACATGGCCAACATCCGGCCAAACGTGGCCAACATCCGGCCAAACGTGGCCAACATCCGGCCAAACATGGCCAACATCCGGCCAAACGTAGCCAACCACCAACAACCAACCAACAACCAGCCTGAGCCTGGTCTGTTCCCTCTTCTCCCTTTCTTATATAAACCGCATACATTATTTAATCACCAATAATTCAATTATTACATCTCCAATGTTGTCTTTACCAGCAAAAATCGTTTCATTTGCATTATTAGTAGTTTTCCATTTACATGCATTTTTTCATTGAAATAAATTATTAATAAGCATTAATTTTATTTCACTTAAATCAATAGTTTTAGATCTAATATGGTTTTATTATATAGATCAAATTTGTTAGAATTTAACAGAATTTGGTTGGTGTTTCCATTGAGCCGGATTCTTAAAATGAATGTGCGATGCTTGCTTGTATAAGTCTTATTTGTATTATATGATGTCAACATAGACCGAAGTGCCTATAAGTAGTTGCATACGTCTTCAATTGGACCCGCAACAGTTAAAATAATAACAATCATATTACAAATAAGCAATACCACCGAATGCAGCTGGCTGTGTGATAATAGATTTGTTATCCTTAATTGTTGTCATATCGTTATTATTTATTGAATTATATCACTACTGTTGTTTATATGTTTGATGTTATCAATTTTTAGTAAAGACACGCCTTGTTAAGATGTTATGACATAATTATTTACATAGTGTTAGATATATCAACTCTATGTACTAGTAAAAGTATGTATTATAATAAAATAACAACTATATAACATTAATTTAACTATGTCTTTAAAACAATTCATTTTAGCAATTGAAATACAACCAGCAAACTGTGCTCAAAGACCGAATGCCGCGGCTTACAAAAACCCTCCCTTTTATACAGAGAAGATATGAGTGGGGGTTATATGCAACTAGTTTAACGATACCGAGTAATAATGAAACTACCTTCTTTTAATATAAAATATCAGATATCTCGAAAATATCCATGTGAACCCTAACAATAGTTGTAAATAAATGAAATTATATTTTGTACGATTAATAAAAATGATTTTTTTTTCATACACTGCACGAATTACTCACCAAATCATTCCACCGGATCATATTCCCCTATCCCTCCATAATCTTTAATTATTGTATACTGGCCTGCTTTAGCACCATCGGAGTGCTTATAACTTTGTTTTGTTACATACAAAACTAACATAGCATATAATCCATACCAATCTGGAATAATGTACCTTTAAAACAGCGAAAGAATTCTCAAATCAGTGCGGTGGTTCCATAGTCTACTGCTCTTAACAAAATACACTCTTTATCTCGTATTATTAGTACACATGTTGAATTTTCATGTTTTTTATTTCAAGAAAACCTCACACATACCTCTTAAAACTTAAATTGTACCTATAAATAGGACGCGCTCTTTATGTCTGTCTGTGTATCCTTTTAGATAAATAATATCCCATATCATAAATAAATATGTAACGAATTTCGATGCCTTATACAATGTCATTTAGATATTTCTCTATGGAAAGTTATGAGTTTATATTCTAATATTGTATATTTTTATCAGGAAATATATACCGCTGTAACCTCTGATACAATAACCAGAGCAAAACCGGGATAATCCATTACACAGTAATTTGCATAACCCAAATATAATAAGTGTGGAACATATAATACCATCAAAATCTGATTAGCAAAGCAGATTCACACCATTGTCATCAGTGCGTGCGAAATTTTATTTAATTTATGTAATGTTTGCTTTGTATCAAGCAAAACTGACAGTAATTTCTCGCCTACCAACTTATTAACGGCCCGGGTCGGCCCCGGTCCTGATGTTGGGACCACAGTGGTCCCAGTTTCTGAAATGAGTTTGAGTATGAGACTCCACGACTCGTCATTGAGTAGTGAAGTGAACGTTTCACGAAATATTGAAGATGGTTGCACAGTGAAAGTATTCGTTTTAAATGGTTGTATGGTTACACAGGGCTACATGGCAAGGATATACTAAGTCGCAACTATAAGAAACGAACAACTTTCAATAAACCATATTATTCGAGAATATTAGTCTAATATAATAAATAAATAATAAGTGGCTAAAATGTCCTACATGAATAAATTATTTTAGAATTTGAATTAATAAATAAAGTACGTAGGTACATAAACAACTATAAAAAAATACTGTACTTTAGTATAATCTGTGTCTATTCCCTATAACAATAGAGTGACACCCAAAATATATTTATTAGATATTGGGCAGTTAGTATAAGATGTAAAATTATTAATTTATATAAAATATATTAACAAATTCTATGATCATCGGCGTTTTTTCGTCTCGTCTATTAAGAACAATAAAAGCTATCAATGACGGTTTCCAGACATCGATGCAAAAATGTTAGGACATCCGTAACTTGGACACGTGACTATTTGAAGTCGTTTTCGGTGATAAAAGCAGGCTGCAACCATAACGACGCTGACGGTGTGGAGTATATGCCATGCTCTTCAACCGATCTCAACCAAGGTGAAATTTAAATCTAAGTCAAAATAAAAACAAATTCTAAGTAAAAAAAAAACAAAATCTAAACCTAAATCAAATTATCTTTATTCATGTACGTCTTCGACATAATTTACTTTTCCTAGCATACTATAATATAGTACAAGTATGTATTATGCTATCTGCTTATGTATGTATGTAGTATAAGCAATAAGAGAGAATCGTGAGTTTGAGTCCCGCCGTCACCAAAAATCGTGTCAATTTATATATGTTAGACCTGTAATGAGATTCACAGGCAGCTTTTATCCATATTTAAAATAGATGTATTCTTTTTATTTATTGTTTTTATATAAACTTGCGCTCTGCTATATAGTACTAATTTATATATACATAATAATACATATACGTTCGGTCCTGCGCCTCAAGTCCATTAATATCTATATATTTATATAAATACAAGAAATCCTGTTGTACATTGTTACAAATAAATAATAATCGATATATACCTACTACAACTGCCTGAGTAAGTCATTTTTCACCAACAAACTGGGATTACTTCCACTGAATCTTTCTCAAATTGATGACATGTATACAGGCTGTAAGGGACAGGTTGGCCAAAACGAACACAGCTAATTCAGATAAATGGTCTAAATCAGATGGCAAATTATTTTCCCACCGGAAATGCACCACAGCCATATAAGTATATAACGATTCTTAATTTTGACGTCGCGCAATATGATTTTACAACGCGGAGTATCGCGCGCGGTGACACGACAGAAGAGGCACGATACCGTACGTATACGTGAATTACAGTAGGCATTCTGGTCGGGTATTAATAATCTAACAGTACATACATAATACGGCGAAGCGAATCGGCGTGAACCAAGGCTTTATGAATATTATTGAAAATGCTACAGTCCTTGCCGGTCTTTTCGTAGCACTTCATGCACAGTCCTTTGAGATGTAGGAACTCCACGGTAGGTATGTTGTTAAGACACAACATACCTAGGCACTTAAGCATTTGTCCATATTCGCAAGCATCAAATAATCAATTAGGTGCCGACCTTACATTATTTATAATAATAAAATATTCACAACGAGAATACACATCAAAACAAAACAAAAACAGTAAATATCTAATCTCAATCAACATAAAATCGAAAAAGTTTTATAGTGCGGCAAAATACATAAAAAAAAATATGCTCTACGCTCGACGTACCCTCACCGAACGACGGTGCACACGGCGATGAAGCGACGCGACGGTAGAATATGCTATGTGCTAAATAACAGCACATAGCATATTCTTCAACGTATAATTATTTAATAAAAATTTAAGCTTGAATTAATACCACCGACAAAAGTTTGTCTCTATCGCAATTGCAAGTTGGTATGAAGAGAACAAACTCTTGTCACAGTAATTTTTACCGTTTCCGAACCCTTATTAAGATTACCTTTGTTATTATTGTTGTTGGCAATCTGTCGATGAAGACAAAGATGTATTTTATTAATTCAGGGACTTTTGTACAACCTAAAGTACATACCGGTCCCATTAAACCCTAAAGGGTCCTTAGACCAATATATAAATTTCGTTTGATAACATAATTGATTATAACAGAAAATAAATTTAATTTTGGTTGATTTTTTTTGGTTCGGTTTTTCCCTTTTTAGGGAAAGGCAAAAGGACTGAGCCCATATAGCCAATTTTAGTTGATTATTAAATATTTAAAAATAAATGAGGTTTTTCATTGTCAAAATATTGAAAAATGTTACCATATTTTTGGCATAATTTTAATAGCAGTTTAGAATATTTTGTATTAGTAATGTTGGCAACACTGTATAACTTCGAGTTATGTTAGCTGACATAAATCATATTATATTTGAATGCCAAGTTTTCAACATACAACGGTTGTTTCTTGTCAGTGATATTAGTGACATCGCAAAGGAACACTTACAAAGTATTCCCCGCCGCGTTTAAGATTTGCTATCTCTTTGCATATTTTATTCCAATATATAACCACATTGTACATACTGTGGAAAAAAAATGAATTATTACTGAAATCGTAAAATTGTACTGTCTATTCATATAACAGTTTATTTCTTATGTTTTGTATTCAATCGTGTTATGTTAATAAAGTTTTAAAAAAAATCGGGTTATGCTACTTACTTGGGCAATGAGCCAAAAGAAGAGAAAAAAAGTTGGTCTAAAAAGGACTTGTATCCAGAACCCTAAAATATATTAATAAAAAAAAAATCTTGTTCTTTTGCTCTCTAAATTTTCTTTTTCTCAATTGTCAATAGTTCAATTTTCCATTAATATTATGAAAATATTTTTCTTAAATTTTGTCAATAAATAGTTTATTATGGCTATTATTGAATTAGATATTTGGCGAGGAGAATGGGGTCTCGCCTCCGTTGATTTGGAATGTTTAAAAGTTTTGGTTGGTATTATAATATAACCTCAACTACATAAAACAAAATACGCCGGCAATTATTAATGTTTCCTGGTCTATTCACAGACCTATATGAAATTTATCGGTGTACCAGTTCGAGTTCGGGAAGCTAACAATCCATATTTCACACCAAAAGGAAGACTGCCAGTTATGAGAGATGGACGGAACGTTCTCACAAATTTCGAGGAAGTTGTTGACTATTTGAAGTCCTTGGTAATCATTATATGATAATACATAATATTATAAATCGTTTTAGCTCTTGATTTACTATGTTATCTTATACACCCCAAAGGTAAAAAATCCTATAAAACATCAAAAAATGTATATCAGAACCTAATTAATTTGAGACACTGCTGTGTGTTTTTTTCTACCTCGAAGGAGTTACATGTAGTTAAATACATTGTAACTCATTGCACATGTGATATCTTGCTTTAACAGCAGTGTAGACAGGTGACAATACCTCTGACTACTCTATAAGATGTAACCGTATTGATATGATTGTTATTTTACTATTAAAGAAGATTATATTTATTAATAACAATTATTATATCATGTGTCTGTAATATTGAAATGTTTGAGAAATATCTGTAGTTTTAGATTTTACCTAATGCTCACTTTAGTTAATATTATTGAAATGTGTAATAGTAGTAACAATATAATCTTGTAACCCAAAAGCATGCTGTGGTTGCATAAATATGCAACCACAGCATGCATATCATGCATAAATATGAGAACAGTTAGTATAAGACCATTAGAATTATATAGAAACAACATATTTTTATTGCTGTATCTTATATTGGTCCTTAAAATCTTTAAAATAAATGAATAAATAAAATCCCGTCAAAAGTTACAAATTGGCTGTCCCTTAATAATGTGTACAGTTACTATGAATATTAGACATTAATAAATACTTTCATATAATTTGCGTGCCCGTTAATAAAAATTAGATTAAATTAGTAAATATTGCTCATCAATATTTTTTTTAAGTTACAACTTATCTACTATTCCAATATTTCTAAAATTTATGAAAATATCATCTATGCCAGAAGGAATATAGACAGTTTCAAAAGAGTTAGTGATTGCACTAATAAAAGCTTACTTAACAATAACAAACTGATTTTACCTAAATGTCGTTTGGCTAAAGTTAGTAATTCGTTTTATGGCAATTGCGTAAGGTTTTACAATAAAATACCAGAGTATGTTATAAATCTGCCAGAAAAAAGATTTAAATGTCAAATAAAACAGTTCCTTTGCAAAAAAGCTTACTATAAAATTGAAGAATTTGTTAACGATAATAATATTTTTATAGAAAAACTTTAAATCCATAGCACTGACAATATTATCTGATTACATTAATAATGAGTGCGTAGCGACTTCTATGTTGATTATCGCATGCCTCTTACTTGTTATACTGTAATTATTTATATAAAAAAAAAACATCTATTAAAAAGAGCAACACACAAGTTTCTTGTTCATTCTTCTTGTGATGAATCTGCATTCCGAATGAGTGGTAGAATCAAAATATGACTATTCAAAAGTGCTTGTAATGAGTTTATTTGAATAAAGATTATTTCTATTTCTATTTCTATTTCTATTTCTAAAATAAACACTTTTGTTTCATTAAATTTCACTTTCTGATTGTTTCACTCTTATGTTTGATTAGCATTATAGTACAGATGTGCATTTGAACACAATACAAGCTGCAGAAGCCAGTGCCTTCACACAATACCTCCGAGACAAGTTGTACCCTGCTTACCAGTATGCCTGGTGGGTGGATGAGAAGAACTACAGTGATCTGACACGACCTGCATATGCTAAAGCCTTACGGATCCCCTTCAACTTCTTCTACCCTTCTCGATATCAGAATGCTGCCAAGGAAATGATTGATGCATTATATGGTGAACATACAGATCTACAAGAGATTGAAAAGACTGTAAGTAATATCTGTATGGACAAATTTTACAACTAGTTGTACTTGCGTCTTTGTCTGCGTGGAATTTGACTTTATTTTTCTGAAATAAAAGAATTTTTCTAAAATATAAGTAGCCTAAGTTACTACTTATTTCATCGGCTACCTGCCAGAAAAAGTTCTATCAAAATGGGTCCAGCAATTTCAGATTATATATATATAACAAACAGACAGACAGACAAACAAAAATTTTAAAACATGTTATTTTGGTGTCATTTTCATATGCATGTAGTATCAATATTACAAATAGACTCTCCAATTTTATTTGTATGTATAGATTTATGGGTGTTTTCTATATATATTGTGCATGTATTTACAAAAAAATATGTATCAAAGTATTTATATTAGTTCTGTAGTACTCATAACACTCTGCTTACTTGGGAGTAGATAGCTCGCTGTGAATAGTCCAGGGCTCTTATTATGATTTAATTATCCACATTCTTAGTTTTTTCATCACCATTATAGCACTGTAAATATGTATAAGGGGCGTAGAATTATTGGAAATGAGACTAGATATACTGTTAGCAATGTTAGGCAGATTGCTATGTAAGAATATACTTAGTAAGTAAAAAATATATTATATGGATTCAATCTACAAATCTACTGGAAACAATCTACACTCAATTGTCATACCTATTATTTGCCTAACAAGCTTATACCTAAGAAAGCGTATGTAAGTCATACCATATATATATATATATATGCTGGAGCGTTACGGGATAATAATATGATGTTGCTGGTTGAGACGATGTATATTAAAGACTAGCTGTACCCGCGACTTCGTCCGGGAAAATAGTGACCTTGACCAAATAATGAAAAAATTTTTAATAACCTAACCCAATAAAAGCCAAATCAAAAAGTTTCATCGTTTCATCTTCAAAAATGACAACACTTCCATACATAACCTTTTCAACTCCTTACAACCCTTTTTAATGCGAAAAAGGGTCTAGACTAGCTGTGTACCAAATTTAATTTAAATCGGTTTAGTAGTTTTGGCGTGAAATCGAGACAGATAGACAGACAGAGTTACTTTTCCATTTATAATATTAGTAAGGATGAAAATAGACTGACAATATGTACATAAAAATATTGATCTTATACACTAAATGACAATAGGAAAATGTAAGGTGGGGTGACACAGTTTAGACACGGTAGAGCTTAGTAGATAATATTGGATTTGTCTTACTAGGCTTTATTAAATGCCATTATTATTTTGATGTATTTAGGTAACTGTGTCCCATATGGTTTATTCTTTATTAATTCACCATGATAGATTAACAGACCTTACTTCATCTGATACAAGACCTGTAGTAGAAGATGATATATTATCATTCTACACTGATGCTCTTACACCATTCAATATTCATCCCAAAAAAATACTTTCATGTATTTTTAATTTATTGTCAAATTGTTACCTTTCAGATATACAGTGAAGCGGAAAAGTGCCTTAAAACTCTATCAGACAGACTGGGAGAGAGTGAATACTTCTTTGGGAATCGACCATCATCATTTGATGCAACCGTATTTGCATACTTAGCACCATTAGTTAAAGCACCATTCCCTAATGCCCAACTGTCAAACCAAGTGAAGGGTATAGCCAATTTATCAAGGTTTGTGGCCAGGATTAACCAGAAGAATTTCAGACATGTTACAGATGGTAATTATCTATTTTGTTTCTATAATAGACAGGGGAGACTATTTCATCATTGTCTTTATCCTATTATTAGGCGTTAGTGTATTTCTTACTGCATATGGTATTATGTATGTTGGACTCTTAAGTCCGCATTTAGCCTTTTGTTTGGTTCTTTGTACATGTAGAACCCAACCTACTAGAGTAGCCAAGTTCCTCCCAGCGGTATAGAAGCCTCTGAACAGAAGAACTGATAACTCCATTGTTAGCAATGTGCTATGTCAGGTTGACCTCCACACGGTTCCAATTTTCTTTTACAGAATACAATAGGCAGAACGCAAAAAAACATTCAACAGGGACACAATCAGACAGAGAAGCAGCCAACTTTCCAAATCAAACCCGTAATAAAATACTAGCGGCCTTGTTTGCAGCTATCGCAATGACTGGCTACGCATTTGCCAATGGAATGTTCCAAGTGAGTAACAAATCATATTAATTTGACTATTATTTTAAAACTCTCAATCAAGCAGGCACAACCACATTGTGGAATCACTGTCCAATACAATACAGTACAATTTTCGAAACATTACCGTATTGTTTCGGAAATTGTTTATGATCGGACATTTAAGAAAAGAGCTTATTTAAAACGCTGTAAAGCACTTGCAATTCCCCTGGCATGCCGGGTGCTCATGACGGCGGTAATCGCTTACCATCAGGTAAGCCGCAAGCTCGTTTGTGCTATAAAAAAAGAAGGTTTCCAATTGAACTATTTACCTCAGACCTTTTTGCTATATGAGCACGGATATTTTATTAAATTGCGTTAAAGGACACACAAACAAGTTACAGTAATATAAAGTAAATACACACAACTACACTGATCAGTTAACAATATACAATATAGTTACAAAAGACGTGTGAAAATCTCTTAAAGTCCTATATACAACATAGGATATTTCATGTCAAATATGAAGACTCCCTGTCAGATAAAGTGGCGAAGCTACCTAGGTGCCCCGGGGCCCTCAAGCTCAGGGGGCCCTCGAACCCTTACCAGAAAATCTCAATCGAACTGAACTTTTCAAAATTTTTCTCATTTTCAAAATGAATATGACAACCCTACTTTAATCATGACTCAGTTGAGAGAAATTCGAAAGTTATACGTTCGGTTGGCAGTGTTGTCAATTTGACGGATAGCGATATTTGCGTTTTAATAAAACTGTAATAAAAAATGGGGCCCCACTGTTCAGCAGAATTAATATGAAATTATAATAAAGCTATTCAAGACATGAAAAGCTTTATTATAATTTCATGTTATTGACAACAATCTTCTTTTCTTTCTTTCTTATCTATCTAAAAGAAAAAGAAAGAAATTCACTACGTTTTGGATTTCATACAGCCAAATTCACGAAGGGAACACTTAGAATGTGAATTTGGGAGCCCTGGATTGTGCCTCTATATGATCATTGCTTGTTTTCTCATAGTACAAAAGCGCCTACCAGTACTGTCAAAAACTACTATGTCTTAAATGACATAGGATATTAAACTTAGTCATATTGTTCAATGACGGTCCCGGTGGTTAAGTTGTTTAGCACACTGCCTTACTTCCGATTCTCACGGGTTCGATTTCTCGCACGGTACAAATATTTGTATTCATAAGTATTGTTTGTATCGCTCTGTGTGTTTTCTACATATATTGTGTATATATTTAACAATAAAATGTATCTATGTATTTATATCAGCATCCGCCCCGCTTAGCTTTAAACCAGATAGTGCTGTGTTGTTAAAAATATAATTATGAAGTCATAGTTCATGTCTGTCTTTAAAAGTACAATAGCTTCGTACAAGTATCTAAATATATTAGAATCATCAAAATTTGATAATGTAATACGCCTCAAACTAGCCATCTTGTAATCTTATTCATTCTCAGAACATAACGTTTTGTGTTCAGGAGCTGAAAGATTTCGAACAGTCGCGAGATTACAACGACATGTTTGAGAATGAGGAAGAGGACAATTGACGCTGACGCTGACGTTCGCGCTGACGCTCGCGCTGACGTTCGTGCTGACGCTCGAGCTGACGCCGCTGACTTAGTTGCACCAGTCGAAGCAAAGCTGTTAAACGTTGCATTTGTTTAATCCTAATGATTTGTATAAACAGGCTGCTCATACGTAATTTTAATTGTTTATTTACATTCCGTTTTTGCATTAATACATCATCTGAGACCAGATTTTTCAATGAGTTCCTTTTTAATTCTCTGATATAAAAAATATGCTCTTACTTAAAAATTTATAATACATACATACATACATAAATTATAAGTTCTCTTCAACCAAAAGACAATGACAACTAATGGAATTCTGAACCCTGTTACTGCTCAATGAAGATTTTAATTATCATAATTAATTAATTTTTTATTTTGTACATTAACTCATTTATAAATATATAATAATTCATGGTACTGATTTAATGTAGAAATAACTTGAGTATGTATGATGTAAATGGGAGATATATATTTTTTTATGGATTTATAATATTTAGTTTTATTCTGCTACCATTAGCATGTTGCAATATGGGTGTAGACTTAATGGTAACGCTTCCAGTAGCGGTGGTCAGCTTTCCGCACTAAATATTTGTAGTCTCACACATGCTAATTGAAGCGGAATTAAACAAAATAATATATGTAAATACATTCAAGTAATGATATGAGCTTCGGCAAAATAACACCTACCTACTTCGAAAAACAAATGCATATAAAAAGTCACAAGCTGTGCCATATTATAGAAGGTTAAGGTTATTTATTTGAGAAATCGCAGGATATTTGCTGAGGTAATGGATTGTTAGATTACTCTATCTGGATTAACATTTTTGAATGTTTATTGTCTTAAAGTTCAAGCAATTATAACATCTAGGTAATCTTTAGGTGCAAATTTCGAATAGGCGAGCTATATGCTCTTATATGTTTTTGTATACATGTACAGCATACTTTTTATTATTGAATACATTATGTACAAATCAAAATATCTCATACATCCATTCAATTAATTTAACGTATTCAATATTGTCAGTCACAAATTTTAAATTTTATTATTTCAGATATGTTTATGGGAATTTTTTTAGAATAAAAACTATGATTAAATGTGTCCTAAAATATAGAATTCATTTTGCTATTTATTTATATATTATTAATTATGATTTTTTATATATTCATATTGAAAATACTTAATTTTATTATTTCAAAATATGTTTATGAGGTATTTATTAGTGTCATATTTGTTGGTAATAATTGGTGAACTATAATTAATTGTGGCACAACATATGTTTAATTTTGCAAGTGTAACAGCCTTGCTTTCGACTGATGTATATATTGCAGTTTCATGCGAACTCAGAGGAAAATAATTGGGTCGTAATAATTTAGAGAGGAATTTAGTAGACATTGTGTTCTCGATATTATTAACACTTCTTGGATGAGTGTTAAACTCTTTTTATTTATATTTAATCATTTCCTGGCCTCGTATATACATAAATTAATGATTTATTGTACATAATGTGTCAGTCGATGTCGTGGGTAGGTTTTATCTTTTCAGCCAGTTGCTTTGTAAGATTGGTGCGGTAAAAATAATTTTAATCTCAATAAAACAGTGAAGTTACAGATTACATTATTACACATTAGAAGCATGACATCTTAGTCATCTGGAATGGGAACGCATGAGTGCCATCACATGATAAAGTGAGCCAATAGGAGTTCATTAGCTACCTTTACGCGACACACTGTGACGACCTCGTTGGTCTAGCGGTCTAGCACATCGCTTTACGTCCGATGGTCGCGGGTTCGATTCCTCGCACGGCACAAACATTTGTATTCATGAGTATGATTGTTTGTATCGGTCTGGGTGTTCTCTATGTATAATATGTATGTATTTACGAAAAAAAAACCTATGTACTTGTATCAGTTATCTAGTCTCCGTAACACAAGCTTTAGATAGCATAACGTGGGACTAGATGGCGCTGTGTGAATTGTTGAGATTATTATTATTATTACTTTACGATCTCCGCGCGAGCACGGATCGCGCACGCTTTAGCGCGGGGAAGCCAGCGCGCGCAATCACGAGTGATTGCAATGAACTATTTTTTGTTTTTACTCTATCACGCGTGATTGCGTCTATGTTTCATGTCATTTCACTTTTTTTTTAATTTTATTTTTATACCACAAATTTCCAAATACTCGTGGTAAAATTATAAATTATTAATAACTTAACAATTAATTATCCGCCATTTTGAATCGAATAAAGAACGCGGAAATGTGCAGGCAACATGCGTGCAGTCTTCCTCGTTCTCTTCGTCTATATTCGTCCCTACGCAGGGGCGGATCTATCTAAGGGCTTTTTGGGCTGCTGCCCAGGGCCCCGAGGATACAAAGCGCCCCCAGTCCCCACTGAAACGATATATTTATATATAGAATATAAAATAATATCTAAAATGTTCAATCAACCCATGCAAGTCCGCGTCTATCGAAAGGAAAAGGACATTTCTAGTCCCTTGTTTTTGGTGTTTAATTTTTAGTTGAGTAATATAATTAGGTACGGTAGGTAGGCCCCTAAGTAGATTTAGCCCAGGGCCCCACAATATCACGATCCGCCCCTGTTCCTACGTACGTGTAAAGGCAGCTATTGTATAGGCGACGGTAATCATTTACCATTAGGGGTACCGTCATTTTGTTTTTCCATTCAAATTACATAAAAACGACTGATTTCAACTCAATATTCCTCTGAGCTCGAACATAGATTATAGATATTGTTAAATAATGAATAACTATTACATTGTCATTGTCTATTTATTGTTTCGTTGTATTATTAAATGGTACAACGTCATCGCTCAAAGATAAATGGCGCTTACTATTGTAGTTTAGTTAGTTAGTTTATTGTTGTGAATTTGTGACTTGAAATGCACGTGCCGTGTAGTTCACGTAAACATGGAGAATGGACTCAGGTATACTCTCTTGAAAGTGTCACCACAGAACTTTTTTATCATCGCGTATAAATTTGTTTAAAGATCTAATTAGTAATTTTTGGTGTGCTGTTTAGCGTAACTTGAAATAAGTCAAGAGTAAACTCAACCTGATTTTTAAGTAAATAAATAAAAAATGTTTCTTCATAGTTGGTTATGAAACGCTCAGTCCATCCTCAATGTATATGAGAGAATACTTTTTAAAATGATGCTAGTGAAATATAATGTATTTTTTTTTATTTTATAAGTAAATAAGTCTTAAACGATTAAACATTTTCCCTGACTTTAGTTTCCCCAACTCTTTTTTTAAATAACTTATTCGGAAAGCAGACTCATCACAAAAAGAACGAGCAAGAGACTTGCGTGTTGCTTTTTTAAAATAAAAGTTCTAAGTAATTACACATTAACAAGGATTAGGCATGCGACCTAACCGCTAACCACTCAATTGTTAATGAGGCAGCTATGTGTTTCATATCAGTAGAACATAGCCCTAAAATTATATGTATACATATATACTAGCACCATATTTAAAAGTATAACGAACTTAGGTACAGCATTTGTAGCATTTATGTAATTTTACTATTGTTTTCGAGCATAGTAGTGTTGTAAAAATATTATTTATATTATGTTCCTATTATGCCAAATATACGTGATGTAATAAACATGACATGTGATGTCTCATTGATGAATTGTTTTTAATTACTCCACTTAACAATGGATTCCAATTTGTCTGAAATAGAAATTTTATTTGTATACAGAGTTAGTCATAATGGAGCAAGCAGAAAACCAGCACATTTTCACAAAATTGAATATCTGAGTAAACTGAAATTTGAAAGTAATTTTTATTGTAAACAAGTTCAGTATTTATTTTTAGTTTTATCTTTGTTTCTTGGTGATAGTAGTTCAGTATCATGGACTTATTGGCTTTTGGCAAGTCAAAAGTCAACAAGTGCACCTTTTATGACTAACACTCTGCACTATATAGGTTCGAACGTTCATATAGACTTCCAGTAATGTTATTACCAATTGTTAGTAACGCTGTTACTAATAAATTTCTAAAAGATTATAATTTAAAATATTGCAATTACGCGTTCAACAGTTGAAATAACAAACCCTACAATATAGCTTGCTAATAATGGTTCATAGGCAATCGCAAATCCATCTATTATACACCAGATCCCTTATGATCTCTATCTGTAGATTTTCATCTGTTACAATGGAGAATTGTTAGTAACAGCATTGCAATTGCGTTACATAATTATAGAAATTGGTTTATTAGTATAATACTAATTGATATTTAACTTTAACTTTTACCTTTTATTTAATCATCATCTATGAATTATTCGACAGTTTCAATTACTAGTAGTACAACTCAGTTAATTGTCTATGATGCTTGTGTACATTTAGGAGACCAACCACTGCCCGATATTGCCAACGAATTCTTAAAAAATAGAGTGGTCAGGTCTCTATTTTTTAAGAATTCATTGGCAATATCGGCAGTGGTTGGTCCAAATGTACATAAATATTGAGGGAATTTAGAAAGTGGAATTTAATTTTTAATTTTAACGCATTAGACCTTTATTGCGTTAACTAGATATTTGTTTGTAGATTTGGTTTTATATATGAGAATTTTTGTTTTAATTTATTCAGAGATGCATGAATAAAGTAATGTTATGACACGTTATTGCTTTTATTTATTCTATTAAGTTTTAATCTTGCTCACTTTTGAAATGAGTTTATTTATTCTTTGCAATATTGTTATGACAAAATGTATATAGGCGATAGCTTGTTTTCCTTTATACTTAAAATAACCGTGAATGTATTTGTTTGATATGCTTTTACCAGCTTTATGCCTTAATTTATGAGAAATTTGTATCATTTGATTTAATTATAGTCAGTAGATTTATTTCTCTATCTACTTTGCAAGAGACAATTTTTTACCTTACCTTTGTAGTCACCGGCTGCGCCTTATGTAGATTTTATTAATTAATATTTGAGTGACAATATGAACAAATTCTTCCACAAATGTCAGCATCTCGTCACATGTATCAAGAAGCGAGGTCGAGACGCCACTAAAACGAAATAACTATAACATAACTTGTAAGAAAATTAGTAAAGGTTTTTTGCCCAGACATGGCTAACTACAACCGATTCCGTACCTACTATGGGAAGGGAGATTTTGATACATTTTTACCAAATATGGCTTACACTAATAAATTTATACCTACTATGAGAAAACACAATGAACACCTGGTGTTACAGACATAACTAGTATCTAAAAGTGGAGGACGATTATTAATAATGGGGATTATGGCTAATGATCTCCACGCGGCCCTGTTTGAACCATTATAGTTAATTCTTGGTGAACTAGCCATAATGGGGTAACTGAGTTGATTTTATATTCATAATGTGAATAATCTTCCACTGTGATGCAACATTCCATTATCATCCATTTAGAAAAATATATTTTAGGTTTGTGTTATTTATTCAATTTAAAAGGCATTTAAATTAAATTAATAACCCAAACCCGGCCAATTCCCAGTCTTAACATCGTAATATTTGCAGACAAATTGCTCCTCGTCGCACAGTCTTTAAAAGCAAGAGTGATTTAATTTCAGCGTTGGTCGAAGTGGAGTTGGCGCCATACAATGCTACTAAACAGGTTCCGTATAGCGAAGAAACATTTCAATATTACAAAGAAACTGAATGCTGGAACATCTGCACAGAGTAATTCAGAACAACCGAAGTAGCTATGATGTCTGTATACTTAATGACCATATTATATATCCCGATTTAGGGCAAAAATTGAGGTCATAACGAGCAGAGGAAGGTCGGAAAAGAGATGGATGGACCGTGTGAAAGATGATATGGTAAGAAAGGAAGTAAATAACGAGATGACTGCCAACAGGGATGAATGGAAGAGGAAAACATATTACGCGACCCCAAATAAATTGGATAAGGAAGAAGCAGATGATGATGATATGACGAATAATTGCTAACTGGTAACTACCACGATGGGTTTCGTCCTCCACTAGTATCCCATCGGTACCGTTAGCGCAGACTTTTGCAACATTCTACAAACTACGATAGAAAAAAAACAAAATGGAGACTAATAGAGACCGGAGTATTAGTCAAGGAGAAATAAATATTTTGTGCTAAAACGCGAAAATAAACATATATTTGTAGTAGTTGAATAGAAGCTAGTGAATTATTGTAGACTTTGTACACAATTGTGTGTTCTATATCATCTATTACCAAGCAGCTCAATCTTCTTGTGACGACTCTGCTTTCCGAATGAGTAGTAGGATCTAAAATATATAACTAGTCACAAGTGCTTATATTAAGTTTATTTGAATACACATTATTTGTATTAGATAAGATTGCTTTGTAAGCCATTTTGATTAAAGGATGGAATATACCAGTGGAATTACAGGATACGGAATGTCAATATGTTAGTACTCTGGAACAGAATGGCATAACGGGTACGACAGTCGTCACATGACTACGATAACCATTTACCATTAGATGGGCCGTATGCTTGATTGCCACCATTGTAATATGAAAAAAAAACATGACTTGTGACTGAGGTGCAGTTATGTATATAGGGTTACCAGTTACCATCAGGTGAACCGTTGCAGATAAAAACAGTAAGATATTAACATGTTTAGAAACATATAGGACAAATAAAGAAAAATAAATGCAGATTTATTCCACAATATTTTTTATTTCTTGCTTTTGAACATTGCATTTCACGTTGTCAGGTACCTACTTATTAACAACAGAATTTGGTACATAGAATACTTCAATAATCTCTACACTGGGATAAAATATAATTCTACATATCTATTGCATAGTTTAAGCGCACATAAAACAGAAGTAGCATTTCAAATCGATGGCACAAAAATACCATGGCTATTAGTGTGATATAGACAATAAATACTTATGTTACAAAAGCATAATTTCTGTATGGGATTTATATTAATTTTCTTTACAATATAACATTCGTAAAATTATTAATTACATCAATATAATGTTATGTCCAACTTATATTACAATATACACACTAAGGTCACCTTATTTGACGGTACATTATCTCGTGTAGACTTGTCCTTTATGAAAAACTAAATCTAAGCCTCATACAGTACGTAAGTAAAACTTAAAATAGATTATTTTAAGTTTTCATATAAGTGTTTTCTCTTTCTTACACATTAAGAAAATAGCTTGAAAGAGAAACAAAACGGGGATGAAAGAAAGAGACAATTATATGTTGGAATTTACACTCTACAAAAACTACAATTTATTATATTCACTGGCAAATGTTGCAGTTTTAACTTTATGGGTTTGCTTGAACATTTCAGCTTTAAATAAGTGGCGTATTCGACACGCAAGTCTCTAAATCGTTCTTGTGATGAGTCTACTTTCCGAGTGGAAGAATAAAAGATACTACTACTCAAATATTAAGTTTATGAATTAAGATTATTTCCATAGGCTACGGTAACCGTTTGCCATCATATGCCATTCTCTACCATATAGTAATATAAAAAAATGTAATGCGCTCCTACTGTCTATAAAAAATAAATTGAATGTACATATGGAATTGAGATAGTTCTTCTTGTATTGCCTCAATTCCATCCATTGAGAAATGTGTATAAATAATAAACAACTAACATTAATTTACAAAATATTAAATAAAAATTTAAAAACTTTATACAACATGTTCTTTTTGCTATAATAAAAATATACCTTATAAAATACGTTTCTAAATTGATTGTTCCCTAGTTCGGTAAAATGCTAAGTGCTACGTGATTTGTATACCGAAACAAAAGTACAATAAGTTCTCTAACAAACTGCAACGATGATGTACCGACAAATTAGATAACACCTAATTCTTATTTAACAAGTCAACAATGTTACATTTGCTCATACAGTTTTAATACACTATCGACTAATTACAGCAACTGGTTTGATATAAAATGAATAAATAAAAAATTAAAAGTTATTAAGATTATTCTCATATCGAGTAAGTGTTTATATACTCGATTATAGATATAGGATGCTACCAAATAATTTACATTCTTTTTATTATTGTAATAATATAAATAAGGAACACTATGCCCTACAACAGAGAATACAATTTGATATCACGTTAGGGGCGATTGATTACGTCGCAACAATTTTAGTACCCCCTCCCCCAGTGTCACAGTTGGTCACATGTGAACAGTTAAAATTAGTGTATTAATACTAAAATTGAAATGTAATGTCACAAAATTTAATACCTCTCCTAGGAGGGTGGGACATAAGTTTTATAGAGCGGACGAATATAGAAGAAAATCCGGCGGAAGGACTTATGGAGCGGCTGAAGGACAACTCCTGCTTGACGCATATGACTTTAGTCTGAGGTCACCGTTAAGGCTTCGAACCTCGATTCATGCCGTCGTAATTTCGATCCCTGTTCTGTATTTGATGGGAGATCGATCGGAGGGGGATCGGACAGCTCGTGTACATGCGACTGTTATCACTTTCCAACAGATGGGTCGTTAGTTTGTTTATCATTACAATTATTAAAAAAACCTCAATATATGTATAATTGGTACGTATTACCGTCGTAGAATTGATCATACCAGAAAGTAATGAACCAATTCTTGAAAATTTACTGCATTTTATGAAATCACTATCGAAAAGCCACGGTTATGTCTGCATACTCACAATTTTGTGAGTTTTGCACATGTAGCCAATGTCATTGTGAGATGTATCTTTCAAATAGCGAAAGAATTTCTTAATTCCGTGCACTGGTTTATGCAGTAGCCGGAGATTGCTTTGAAATTAGAACTGAAAAAAAAAATTCCCAACAAGAGGAACTCTTTGAAGGGATTATTTAATTTTCTATAGCCTATATGTTGAAATTTTCCCAGCATACTTCCTTAAATCTTTAAGAACGTATTCTGTAAAATTTTCATCGTAATTGTTCTAGCCGTTCGTCATTATCATCAAATACAACTATTTCACAAAACGGTCGATTACCATATGAAATGATCAATTCTACAATACGTTTTTGTAGCAACATACATTATATAAAAATTGTACCAAAAATTTTTTAAACTTTATACACCTAACCTAAAAGTTCTATGACATTTTTCAAACATATATTTGTAATTTTAATAATACAATTTGAATAATACAATTAGATTTTCAATTATACAATTTAAACGCCAAATTTCTTCATCACACCTACTAATTATAATCACACAATTTTAATAATCATAATTTCCTAATTGCTGTTTATTTCCCGCGAAATAAAGAAATTTAAACAGGGTGGTGGTGGAAAGGGTCCCAAGACCTACTGTTTAAAAAAATATATATGTCTATACACATCTACAATCGCCTTCCAGGTGCAAATCATAAAAAAATACAAATCTGTATATGGTGTGGTATGGCATATAAAACTCAGTATATGTTCAAAGTTTGAACAAACATTTACAGTTTATTTGTCTTCCTGTAACGCTCAAGCAAAAGCATGCTCCATTTCTGAGAAGGCACATATTTGCAAAACATGCGTGGGACCTGGGTGTCCCTTGGAAACCATCTGCTAATTTTTTAAAGTTAAGATACGTAGGTTCATGGGAGTGCAGTATATATCTCACTACATATTAGACATTACTATGTAGCGTAGTTTAGAAGATATATGTTATCTTAAGCTTTCACGATCTTTTATAATTGTACACATTATATCGGGAACTATTATATTATCACATCGGTAAATATCCCGATAACATATGTACAATATGTGTTATTGGGAGCATTTGAACTTCATATCACGGTAAATATCCCGATTATATGTACAATATATGTTATGTTTGGGAGTACTTAAGTGGGAGCGCTTCATTAGGAGGGCTAATTTATTATGGTTACTTATTTAGCTTTGACGGTTTAGTTAGTATGACTACTATAGTAAGTCAGTTCGCCTGACACTCTCCCAGTATATGCTGATAACAAAAGTAAAAAAAATATACCAGGAAAAACATTATCCTTCTCACGAGTAGTAGGGTAAAAAGAAAGGTTTGATATCTACATAACACTGACGTTTAAGACGTTTTAAAAATGCAGAGTTAGACAAAAACTTAAAGACAAATTATAATATAACTTTAGCTGCCTTATTTACAACAACTTAGGCTTAAAAATTAAATATTAGTCTTTGTACATAAGTCATACCATAAATAATAAAATGGTAACAGGGTGAAGTAGGTAGCGAGTTAGATATACGACTTGTTACTAAAATGTAAGTTATAATAAACCTTCTTTTAAATTTCGTCATCATATACAGCAGTTCAATCAATATATTAAAATATTCACCAATATGTATACATATTGTATATAATACACATAAATGTCATATGTTTAAAGTTGATAGGGTTGCCATACCGAAATTATAAATTACAGTATATAATAATAAAAGTCTACGATTGTACTCATAAATAACACGTTTATGATAAAGGCATCGCGGAAACGATTATGTCCGTAGTCAAATAAACACATGTCAGGCTACAGCATGCTTATAGTTTACATTTTTTACAAAAATATAATCTTGACAAACTAAATAGCAACGACGTCCGAACTGAAACTTGATATTGTGTACAATATCAGACAGATGGAGACCTAAGTATTCATAACTCAAGCAAGATGTTATAAATAAGTATACTCACATTCTTTCTAATACTCAAACTTGTATATTCATATATCATATTTTATACATGTATAATAAAAATAAATTTTATGCGCGTCTACTATAATACGATTTCAATTTCAATGGAATGGCCTAATACAAAATAGATAATTTATGTTTTCACGTTTAGTACACATTATTAACCCTTCGAACGTTTTCACATAGATCTGTGCAGCCTCTTCAACCATATTACAGTCTTGTCACAGATCTGTGCCCGCAAAATTCTTTTTAACAAATTTAGTCCTTATTTAAAACGAAGTAGGATTGAAAATCATTTGAAAAAATACAGCTGGCGCGCACATATCGCCTCTTCGTTTTCGATCGCTGCGACAGATGACAGACACTCGAAAGGTTAATATAGTTATTCGGGACTTAACACGAATAATTGTATAGTTAATAAAGGTATTTATTCAGTGACTGCAGTGGTGTTTGCACGTGATCAGGACTCGTGCAACCTACTCGAAACGTAGTTATAAATAAATAAATAACCCTGGACAATCGTACTCATGAATACAAAATGGTTGCACCGTGCGAGGAATCGAACCCGTGATCATCGGAAGTAAAGCGGTGTGCTTAACCGTTTGACCACCAAGACCATCATAAGTACAATGTGTACAATTTTTTATTAATATAATGTACAGGTACGGCTTGTTTACGATTTTATTGCATACGTTTCATATGACAACATTATATTATCATTCCATGTATGTCATTTCATATGTAAACATAATTCGCGTTAAATCCCAATAAACTATATTAATAATAATACAATATACTTTTCTATACAATAAAATCACGTTCATTATTATAAGGCGTCAATACTGTCAATCATTTACGATTGGCAATTGAAATTTCTTTACCAATTAAAATATACTATTTGCATACATAAAAATATAGTTTAAAAATTCGTTTCGCGCATCAATACCCTTGATTTATATATAACTACATATTGGTGTTGTTAAATATTAATTTTTTTTATAAAAAATTCCTACTTTGTTCTAGAGTATATATTTAGAGGTGTATCAAATATATATTTGATACACCTCTTATTTTACACGTAAGTCTGGTAACACTGAGTCGTGGAAACGGTATTAAGAAAACCGCATCTGACTAACTTTCGTTATATACATCTCAGTGTGTATCATAGCTAACGGTTTACAATGCAAATAAAGGGCATGGTGATTTATTATCCACATATTTATATACACAATTACATAGTTACTCTTAAAGAGTACAGCCAAGTGAGAAACCAGATAGAATTCCTGTGATACTGAACGAATGATACTAGAGTATAAATAAGTAATAGAGTAGAAAAATATTAAATGTTTACTTCCAAAGTAAAATCACTTCTTCGAACCATTCTAATGCTGTTGACGGTAGCTGGCCTTTATAGCATTGTCGTACAAAAATGATGCCAAATGCAGAAGGTACTCTAAAACCGTGGAATGACTTATGGAGCGGCTGAAGGCTAACTCCTGTCTGATGGATACGACTTTAATCTAAGTTCTAGAGAGTGCCCGGTGCCCTTAGAGTCTATGGGCACCGGGGCACCGCTAGGGATTTATCCAACAACTAAAATACACCAATATCATTGTCACCAGTAAAGTAACAAAGTAATGTTGATTTATAATAAAAAAATGTTTAAAAATATTGCACTAACGGACATAAAATCTGAATTTAATTGTAATGAAAGCTTAATAAAATAAAAAAAAAAACAAGTTGTTAGCAATCCATCATGAAATATTATACATATTATGCCCAACATATGACATTTCGTACCAATAATGTCGACTATAAATATCTTGTTATAATTGTGTTCAGTGATTGGAATGACGTCATAAACTGACGCCATGACACCGCTGTTCGAAATTTGAAATACAAATTTTGCTATTAAACTTATTTCAAGCTATTATTTTTGGCAATAAGAGACCCGTAAGTACAATATAGCTTCAAAATAAACCACCTTGCCGATTATTGCATCTGCTTCCCAAACTCCACCAAATATTAGAACACGAAACTCGTATTAATTAATACAAACATATAAACATATTATATATTAATAGAATATACATTACTTACTTTACACGTGGAATTTCTGGGATTTTCAACATATACAGCGTCCATTGTTGAAATTGACTATATCGAGAAATCACCACTACATATGATAAGTTAACATTATGTATGTACGTAGGGTCGGAATTTTGCATTTTCCGTGCAGGTGCTGTTGTTAGTCGGGCGCGTTGAGTAGCGACTGTGAGTCGAGTAGTTGGCTGGCGTCGATGAGACTAACCTGTAAATAAAGTTTTTTAAATATTGTAATGTGTTTGAAAACATTATGAACATTAAAAGTTACTACTATTATAATGTAAAGGGTTTAGCATTCCCTACCTTTAAAATATTAATAACTAGCTGTACACGCGACTTTGTCCGCGAGGAATTTAACTTTATTTTTCTACAATAAAATTAGCCAAGTTACTCCTTATTACATCAGCTACCTGCCAAAAAAATCTCGTCAAAATCGGTCCAGCCATTTCAGAGATTAGCCGGAACAAACAGACAAAATTAAAAAAAAAATTATATGGTGTATGTACCGTATTTATATTCATATGCATGTAGTAAAAAACGGTTATTTCAATATTACAAACAGACACTCCAATTTTATTTATATGTATGTATATATGAGAGGAGGGGCGTATTCCTTGGGTTACGGTGTGGATAAATTAGCAGAGGAATTGGTAAAGAAGGAATCGATTTTCTTTACAGTATTTCTTACGATATTTATATAGAATATTTATTTCGAAATATTCTTTATCTGATGTACAATTGTGTCATTTTTGAGTCTAGAAATATCGTCGACGTACATACAATCGTAACGTATACAAATCCTCGATTCAGATCGGGTGACATCGTTCTGTGTAATCAGGGAACATATTAGACATTCTACTTTTGAGAGGCACCTTGGTTTTGAATAACGACCGAAATGCAAATTTATATACATAGACCCAGAGTTCTCTTTACGTTACATACTTGCATAGCGTCGAGCGTGCCGGTGACGGCCTCGTTCTGGAACTGGCTGAACGGGAAGAACCTCGAGACTGGCGGTCGCGTCTGTTCCACTTCAGTGCCGTTGGATTGCCGGTTGCTCAAGATCGATAGAGACGACAGTCTGTCGCTCAGGCGCTTTATCTGAAGGAGATAATGTACTTGTTACCAGTTTTATATCTGAGTCTTTTTTATGTTATTATTTATGCATTTAAATCGATTGTCTAGTACCCATAACACAAGCTCTGCTTACCTTGGTACTATACAATTCATCAGGAGTTATTTATTTACTTATTTAGTCCAGGTGTGAGTTGCAATACTGACCTGGTCCCTGAGGCCGTAGTGCATCATGTGGTGCTGCACGGGCCCCGTGTTCATACTATCTAGCGGCTGCAGCCAGCGCTCGTAGCACTGCGCCCACAGCTCCACACGGCCCACCGACACTGCTGGATGCAGCCGCTGCAGCGGTGGCCGCTCCTTGCCTGACTGCTTGGCCGATATCGAGGACATAGCTGCACGGGATATAACGTTTAGTACATGTACTAACGGACTCCTTTACGTTGCGTCCCCAAATGTGTATATACTGTTTTATATACAAATAGCTGTGCTCGCGGTTTTGCCTGCGTTATATTTCCATATATAAATTTCAATTAAAAATATAGCCTGTGTGTTATTCTGATGCATAAGCTAAAATACTGTAAAGTTTCATCAAAATCCGGTCAGTAGTTTTTGCGTGAAAGAGTAACAAACATCCATACTGAGAATCTTTCGTGTTATAATATTATTAAGATTATGCAACTTTAAAAATATGTTCAAAAACGTTAGTTATTTATTAATAACTAACGTTTTTGAACATATTTTTAAACTATTGTTTAAACGCGAAATTTTGTGAGATGGATGGATGTTTGTTCACAAGTTCATTCTTCTTGTGATGAATCTGCGTTCTGAATGAGCGGTAGAATCAGAATATGACTATTCAAAAGTAATGAGTTTATTTGAATAAACATTATTTCTATTTCTATTTAAACTTAAAGAGATAAAATCTACAGTTTTATAGAGAACATAAACATCGAAGAAAGTATGTTAAAGTTGATATTTTATGATTTTTTTAATACCCGAGCGAACCCGGGTCGTGCCGTTAGTAGTTAATACTTACATATCCGTTGTTTGGGTACGGGCATGTAGTTACATAGTCCATACAAGGGATTGTAGAACAAGGATTTGTCCTGATCGGAAAACTGCTCGCTCCAGTCCCACAATGGTCGTTGTATGTAATTCTGATAAACAATATTATTGTACGTAAAATATTCTGACTACATATAGTAATTTTTGTAGCTGTGACGTGGTCGAGTGGAATGAGTATGCTCACTAACATGTCCAGACATGTGGCGGCGTGGTGGGCCGGGTCATTAGGCTCCCTAAAATATGGTCGAGCGCAGTGATGGCTGGCTCATCCGTCATACTCATGAACGAGTGCTGCTTGTAGGGATTGGTCTACTCTTATCACTACGACTGATTTAATCTTTTTGCATATTTATATTTGACCCAAAATATTTGTGCTGGTTGGTAGTTTGTATTCACACGTTTCGACTTGTAAATGTAAACTTACAAGGATTATTTAAAAGAGCAACACACAAGTTTCTTGTTCGTTCTTCTTGTGATGAGACAGCTTTCCGAACGAGTGGTAGATAAAAAACAAATTGTTATGACTATAACGAATAAATTGAATAAATAAATTGTTATATATAATGATTTTCTATTCTATTCTATAAATAGCATTTAATTTTTGACGACCTCGGTGATCTAACGGTCTAGCACACCGCTTTACGTCCGATGGTCGTGGGTTCGATTCCTCGCACGGCACAAAATTTGTATTCATGAATATGATTGTTTGTATCGGTTTGGGCGTTTTAGGCCTGTGACTTATACAAGAGGAGCGTCTGGTCCGCAGTGAAGTACCGCCTCGCTCTATTGAGCACACCAAGCTTTTTGACCTTTTCTTCGAGGTGACTACGGAACTCAATTGTGCTAGATATGTTGATACCGAGAATCTCAATACTCTTAGAGATGGTAATGGGCGTGTTCTGGAATTGCGGAGCCACAGCATAAGGTGTTGTCTTAGCGGTGAACGCGCAGGCTTGTGTCTTGGTAGGGTGAATTGAACTAAGTTCAGTCACCCCCAATCGGAGACTCTGGTGTCTACTTTGTACTTTATCTTTACTGAAATTAGACAATGTACCTTGAAAATGTTAGGGGCCCTATCCCTGGGACAGTTGTAGAGAAAGGTGTCGAAGGCGTGATTGTGCGCGCAGTCCCACAACGTGGTGAGGTAGGTCTCGGTGAACTCGAAGCTGGAGGGAAACTGCTGTACCAGTTGCCACACGCAGTCCAGGAACAGCAGGAACACGGGCGCGGTCTGCGCCTCAGCCTTCCCCGGGCCCATGCCCGACTCCAGCAGTTCATTCGACACCGGCGGCGGGAGACCAAATCTGGACAATGAAAATGACACTTGAGGTCACTAAGAATAAGATTTATTTTGTTTTGATATTTAGATATTTGTCAGTTTTATGTGACGTCATGAAATTTTAAACCCACACCTCTCGTCACACTATGTCGACCTCCTCCTCCCCTTGTCACACTATATCGATGCCCTACTCCCTTTGTTACACTTTGTCATAGCTCCACCCACGGTCTTAATATATATATTGCTCCTAATAGTGATATATATTGTATGGTAATACCTATCACAGAAGGGGTGACCAAGAGCGATCCACTCTTTTTGTATGAGCGACTGGAAGCCAGATATGGTGCGGTAGTGAGGGTCCACAAGCAGCTGAGTCAGGGAGGACACCACAGCGCAGTAATCCACACCTTCACCTGCAAACACGATAATTAATACACCAGAATCCATACTCATAATATATATACATTATACATACATAGGAAATTAGTACAGTGAGTCGGTAGGACTTTATTATAGTGAGTGGGTAAGACATTACTACAGTGAGTCAGTAGGACATTAGTCCAGTGGGTGAGCAGGACATTAGTATAGTGGGTGGGTAGGACATAAGTACAATGAGTCGGTAGGACTTTATTATAGTGAGTGGGTAAGACATTACTACAGTGAGTCGGTAGAACATTAGTATAGTGGGTGGGTAGGACATTAGTACAATGAGTTGGTAGGACTTTATTACAGTGAGTCGGTAGGACATTAGTACAGTGGGTGGGTAGGACATTAGTCCAGTGCGTGGGCAGGACATTAGTGCAGTGGGTGGGTAGGACATTAGTCCAGTGCGTGGGCAGGACATTAGTACTGTGGGTGGGCTGGACATTAGTACAGTGGGTGGGCTGGACATTAGTACAGTGGGTGGGTAGGACAGTAGTACAGTGGGTCGGTTGTCATTAGGACAGCGGTTCGTTAGGACACTAATACAGTGGGTCGGTAGGAGATTAGTACCTTCGATTAGGACGACAGTGACGTTGTTTGCTAGATTTTTGGCCGCGTCGTCCGCGAACGCTAAGCAGTACGCCACGTACCGCAACCAGCGGCTCGAGTCCAAGATCAAGTAATACTTTGAGTCTTGTTCCTGTTAACAGAAGACTATAATAAAAAATATACCTTCAATACTATTATACCAGATGGGGTAGACACAGATATTATAAACTGTAGACGTGGCTGGTGAACGCAATACTTGATAATACAGTCTCGGTTATTTAGCGGATTAGAAGACCACTTTATTTGCATTGGTAGTGGATTCGATATCCACACAAATACAACCATTTCAATGTATTGTATTCATGAGTATATGTACGGACTGTATGGCCAACTAGTCGTAAGCTGTTGTAGTTTATTCATGTAGTAATAAGAAAAAAGACTAGGTAAACGGAGAAAAATATATATTAATATAGACTACTGACATAACAGAAAAGAATGAAAGTGACAAACAAGAATCTACAAAATGAACTATAAATTTTAAATACAAAATTACAAAATAAAACATTTCTTCATTAGCCAGTTACAACATAAGAGAAGCAGAACAAGTATTATGGGTGTTAGCAGTATGATTAGGGGCTGTATTTATATGCCAGATAAGTTGTTTAATGTAATAAAAGAAATTTTCCGACATATATAATTGTGTAGAACGGTATATAAAAATTAGGGATCAGAAGTACAACAGTAAATTAGTAATTCTGCAGAAGAAGACATTATGCAGTTAGTTTTTTCCCGCGCAAACGCAATGCGCCACAGATGCACAAATGTTGCACGGTGCGTAGATGCAGTAGGATAACTAGCGCGTCATGGCAGTATGCGCGATGTTAATACTATGAGTATTAACAATGGGTACTAGGCAACTGATATTAATACTTAAATATAGTTTACCAGACCAATAGAAACAACAGCATCAACTCATGAATACAAATGTTTGTATTGAGCATAGAAGTAAACCAGTGATCATCGGAAAAATGACGGTGTGCTAAACCACTAGTCCGACACCACCAAGGCCGTCAGTTTCATAAAAAAAAAACAAGTTCTCACCCAAAAGTTCCTAATCGTTGTGGGCGTGCAGAGGTCAGTCAGTTTCTTGAATGATGACTGCAGCGTGGATATGGACGGTAGGATATTGGTTCCCGGGCTATTAGATATAGAATTTCGGCAGAGGTCTATAATTTTGAGTGACGTCAGGTATGGATGACTCTTCCGAACCTGTAATATTAAAAAAAGAATGAAATGTCGTATAAAACATATTCTTTATAAAAAAAAGCTGCCTTATTGTAATTTTAAATGTGTTCTTTAATATACTATTTATGTAGTAAACTAAGTATACCAGGATTCATATTATATAAATCTATTAAGGAGTTACATAATATCTCTTTGAATTAGCCTATGTGTTATTCTGATGTATAAGCTATATTACTGTAAAGTTTCATCAAAATCCGTTCAGTAGTTTTTGCATGAAAGAGTAACAAACATCCATCCATACTAACAAACCTCATTTATAATATTAATAAGATTCTATATAACATACCAGTTCTAGTACGACGCCCTCAATTTTCGAAGCTTGCTCAGTTTGCAGCGGCTCCCCGCTCCGGAGCAAAGCTGCACCCTCCGGCCTGCCCCACACCCAAATCGGAATCCTTCCATTTCTGTAGTGCCTCGCGTACTCCAACACCTTGCAGTCCAGCAGTGACATTGGTATTATCAACGTGGGCGGTCCAGATAACATGAACGCATCGTGACCATCGTTAATGAGCGTTATCCTCCAGTGGGGACACTCAGACCGCTCCAGTTCCTTCTTCCAGTCTATCGTTCTGTCGAACATGTTCAAGTCTGTGGGCAGGGTCCGGTAGTATGGCTCTTTGTATTCATACGCGAATAGTAAATGGTGTCGTTTGGGAAACGCGTGGTGTAAGAGCGTGAGCGCGACCTTCCGCCCGTTGCCGATTAAGGAGTCCGCGAAGCTGAAGACAAATACTTTCATGTTCTGAAAAAGAGTAAATTATGAGGAAATTATTAGGACTTTTGGTCGCCCCGTGGTCGGAATCACTTTTGTAAGACTATAGACAAATACTAGAAAAGACAAACAGTATTAATCATGGTAGGCTGTGTAATATTTTTTTTATTAATCTCAACCAAGTCCAAACGTTGATTGATGCAAAAAATTCCTTATCCATACATATAAATAATATTGGAGTGTCTGTTTGTAATATTGAAATAATTTTTTACTACATACATGTGAATATATACACGGTACATATACCAAAATAACATTTTTTATAATTTTTGTCTGTCTGTTTGTTCCGGCTAATCTCTGAAATGGCTAGACCGACTTTGACGGGAGTTTTATTGGCAGCTAGCTGATGTAATAAGGATTAATTAAGGCTACTTTTATTTTAGAAATATAAAGTTAAATTCTATGCGGATGAAGTCGCGGGAACAGCTAGTCATCCAATAAAAGAAACACCCGATACACTATATTTAGAATGTTTCTAAGATTTGTAACATGAAAAATATCTAAATTAAAAACAATGCATTCAGGTTTTCTATGTGTCTATCTCACGTTTACGTTCAATGATTGATAAGGAGACGTCTATCTGATAACTTCTTGTTTGAATAGGATTTTTACAGTAGCGAAAAATGTCATGTTTACTGAAATTAACCACTGTGATTGTGTGTAGAATTTTGTGAGATAAGTATACATATAAATATTAATAAATAAAAAAATATAAATATTATAGAAAATGCTCAAGATGCACTAATTTTGTATTTTAAAGTTATTTATTATATATACATATGTATTGCACTTTAAAATACATAATTGAAATAAATATTAGAATATTATATACTTTTTAAATTTGACACAGTCATTATTTATACGTACAATTACTAAAAATCACGGGATCTTACCACGTATTTTTATGAATATTTCAATAATCTTTAATACTCAATTTACTGAGTTTCAATTACTATTGCAATATAGAAGGCGTGTGAAGGTAGACGCACATGTCTGCCCATAAAAAAGATTATATATACTGAGCGGAGTCCTGTTTAGCAAATACTTGTTAGTTATATCGGGTTTAATTATTGTTTTACTGCATAGGAGTGGCGGTGTGTGTATGTGTTCATTCATGTATACATACTGCAAAATTAATTTAATGTATGTATGCTAATGTTGATTTTTTTGCTAAATAAATGTATATTATTATTATTATATACCATCTACCCGCCGCTCTTCACTTCTCGTGAAACGTCACTCGTGAAATGCCGAAATATCGGGAACTCAATAAAAATAAAACGCAGTAAGAACCCGTGATTTTTGTTATTAGAAACATTGGTAGCAAAGAAGGCCGTATCTCTAAGACACAGGAAGTGGTATGTGGATCAAAGAAGTGCAGATAAAAAATGTAAGATAAGACGAAAGTAAAATAAATAATTAAAACCATAATTAAACTACAAAAGATAACCACATTCACTCTTACCTTGCATATAACCTGCAGCCCCTTAACTTTCTGTGGCATATCTCCGTAGGGTAGGAGACGGCGGCGGCGCACTAGGTCTCCCTCGGTCATCCATAGGGCTCCGATCCCGGTCAGAGGCACGTCGTACGGACCCAACAAGTAGTTCCGTTGCCCGCATTCCTGGAACATGTCATTATGACATATGATCATCCTGATCATCATTACAAAATGTACAAAAATAATGATAATATGAATATTCTTTTCTATTCTTTTTCTAATAATATTATTCTTGTTTCTTGTTATTAATAATAATGAATAGATTTTGATGAAACTTTACAGTAATATAGCTTATGCATCAGAATAAATAATAGGCTATATTTTATATCGAAATTTAACGCGAGTGAAACCGCGGGTACATATATAAAAATATATAATATATATAAATATAATATTTTAAACTAAAGTGGTAAAACTATAAATACCGAACACTGTCTACGCCTCACTCACATTTTCCTGAAACTGTTAGTGTAATAAGCAATTAATATTTAAATAAGAAAATTGTTTTGTAATTATACATAATCCATTATACAGACGACCTCGGTGGACTAGCGGTTTGAATTCCTCGCTCGGTACAAACATTTGTATTGTACAATATGTAGAAAATTTACAAAAAATGTATTTAAGTATTTAAAATCAGTTGTCTAGTACCCATAACGCAAGCTCTGCATTGTTTGGAACTAGATGGCGCTGTGTGAATTGTCCTGAGATATGATTATTATTACTTATACGCTACAAACCACGGTAAAACCTACTTTAATAGCATTGATAAGGACTAGCTGTACACGCGACTTCGTCCGCGTGGAATTTAACTATATTTATGCCAAAAAACGTCCCGTCAAAATCGGTCCAGCCATTTCAGAGATTAGCCGGATAAAATAGATAGACAGACAAAAATTAAAAAAAAATGTTATTTTGGTGTATGTACTGTATTTATATTCATATGCATGTAGTAAAAACGGTTATTTCCATATTACAAACAGACATTTCCTATTTTATATATATGTTAGATGTATAGATTACTGAAAAACTACTGGTGTTATGGGTACTAGAAAACTGTTATAAATACACACATACATTTATTATACACATAGTATACATTAAAATCACTAAGACCGATACAAACAATCATACTCATGAATACAAAATGTTTCTACCGTGCTTCCTCACAATATCGAACCCACAACCATCGATAAAAAGCCGGCGTGCTAAACCGCCTATTCAAAAGAAAATTGACTGAATAAATAACCAATTACTAGAAAAAAACATCAAAATCTGTATAAATAAATAAAATTGGGGAATATATCGAACCGTTCGCTAGAAACTGTTATCTTTTTCTATATAACTTGGATGTCAAACAAGCTTATCATCCGCTCCCATGAATTTAGTGGAAAATGTAGCTTATATATGACTTGAACGGTGTGGCATTATATTAAAAACTACTGGCCGGCCCCGGGTTTGTACGGGTGCTCAATACATTGTTATTATCTACTAACTATGCCCGCGACTTCGTCCGCTTGAAATAAGGATCTTTAATGACATTATATAATTTAAAAAAAAGAAAGAAAAATATTTCATTGTTCCAGCTTCAAAACAACGATAATACAGCTTCTAGCTCCAGCTTGGAAGAAAAGGAAGCAGTACTTATTACTTATTACTGGTACCTTTAATGGCATTTTTAATTATTTAGGCTAATTATAAACAACGAATGAAAAAAATTTCATCATTCCAGCTTGAAAAATGAGAACAATACAGCTTCTGGTTAGCTCTAGCTTGGAAGAAAAGGAAACAGTACTCATTACTGGAATAGGGACCATTGACGACATTTTTAATTATTTAGGCTTATTATAAAAAGTGAAAGAATGTAGTTTCATCGTTCCAGCTTTAAAAATGTCGATAATACAGCTTCTAGCTAGGTCTAGCTTGGAAGAAAAGGAAGCAGTACTCGTTACTGGAATAGGGACCTTTGATGGCATTTTTAATTATTTAGGCTTATTATAAAAATACAAAGAAAAAGTTTCATCGTTCCAGCTTTAAAAATGTCAGTAATACAGCTTCTAGCTAGCTCTAGTTTGGAAGAAAAGGAAATAGTACTCATTACTAGAATAGGGACCTTTGATGGCATTTTTAATTATTTAGGCTTAAAACGACGATAATACAACTTCTGGCTAGGTTTAGCTTGGAAGAAAAGAAAGCAGTACTCATTACAAGATTAGATCTACAAGCGAGGCTTTTTTTGTACTACGATGGTGGCAAACAAGCATACAGCACATCTGATGGTAAATGGCTACCGTAGCGTAGCCTATGGAGGCATTTGAGTACAAATATACATAAATAAATTATAATACAATCACATATCTGTTTATATTAGTTATTATACTTTACCGGTGCTTTTAAGTTTAACTGTGACTCAAGAAACGATATTTCTAGCATTGAATAGTTGTAATACATCATTTGTTTGTTATTTTCCTTACTTCCAAAGCATGTGAATATTACATCACTTTACCACAAGTCCCTATCATTTTAAAAACTATCTGGAAAACTGCTTAAAACTATTTATGAGGTTCTAGGATACATCTAAACACTATAATAATAACCCTCGACAAATTATAATTTTTTAGATAAAAAAAACTTGACATTCAGAAGCGGCTAAAATGTCCTACATGAAAAAATGATATTTGATTTTGATTTCATGTATGTAGAAAGCACCCAGTCAAATACAAACAATCACACTCATGAATACAATACTATAGATCCTGCCAGGTTTCTTGAAAAACCCATGCCATAGTCTCTCGAGAAACTCTTGGCAGGTACTTCGCATTACACTCTAGGGGTACACGGGAGGTAGCACCTCTGAAATTGCACAGTTAGAAAATTTTGTTGACTCGATTCTGTTATTTTTATTAGTACTTTGAAGGAAGGGGATTGTTAGTAAAGTGGACAAATAACAACATTCCTAGCAACGTTCAATGTCAGGTTGACCCAGGTTGTCGCAAATCCCCCTGGAAATCATCGTGATAAATTCCTGGAAAATCTGCCACTATGGGCTAACTGACCTGACCTCATGTTCATCTTATCATCCTCCACTGGTGCGTCGCCAGCGTAAACCGTTTGCGCAGGCGCGCACCATTTCATTATTATTTACAAAAAAAATAGAACTTTAAACTAAGGGGATTGTTAGATGTGGACAAATGACCCCATTGCTAGCAAAGTACTATGTCAGGTTGTTCCTGGAAATCATTATAATAAATTCCTAGCGAATTTGCCACTACGGGACAACTGACCTGACCTCGTGCCCCAGCAGCTAAACCATTAGCGCAGGCAGCACCATTCCATTATCATCATCTGCTTCTACCTTATCCCATTTATTTGGAGTCGGCGTAATATGTCTGCATGATTCCATTATCATCCGTAAAAACATAGTACTTACATCGTATTGCATGGGCTCGTATGGCACGAAAGACAGTTTGTAATTGGTGATGAAGAGGGAACCACTCCGCTGAATGCAGCTGAGCGGTGTCAGCATCAGCACACTATGAGCCGCGTTCACAACTAGTTCACCTGCAACAATAATAACACACCTTTACGACTGTAATCAAATGAAATAAAATCATGTAGATCTTTTATCAAAATATCTTTATTTACATAGGTCTACTAGCTGTTCCCGCGACTTCGTCAAGACAGATAGACAGATGGTAATGGTAAAAAATGACATTTTGGAATATGTAGGTACCGTATTTATATTGATATGCAAGTAGTAAAAAACTGTTCTTTCAATATTACAAACAGACACTCCAATTTTATTTACATGTACACCCGTGCGAAACCGGGGCGGGTAGGTAGTATTAGTATAAATTTCACGGCCGCGGTTGCTCATTGTGCAAGATCTGATCTCCACGCATTGAGATATTCATAAAAAGTTGAAACAGTTTCTGCTCCGGCGCATACTCAAGGCTGGAGAAACTTCAAACTCGAACAATGGAGTTTTATAATTTGCTGCATTCACAATCGACCCATGTGACCCATAGAGGAAATTAGCGCTGACAACACATTCACAAGCAGAAATTATCTTATAAACTTAATTTAAGCACTTTTGAATAGTCAACATTTTTTTTAAATCTACCGCTTATTCGGAAAGCTGTCTCATCACAAGAAGAATAAGCGAGAAACTTGTGTGTTGCTCTTTTAAACAATACAAGGATTGTTTAAAAGAGCAACACAGTTTACATTTTACAAGTCGAAACGTGTGAATACAAACTACCAACCAACACTAGTTTATTTAGGCTCAAATATAAAAACACAATAATATAACAACTTTAGAATAATCATTATATCTAGTCAAGCCGTAAGTTCTGTTATAAAAACCATCCTAACATTTTCATGTTATGACGGTTTTTGTAACAGAATATATAGTATATGTAGTATAATTTATACATTATACATATAAATAAAATTGGAGTGTCTGTTTGTAATATTGAAATAACAGTTTTTTACTACATGCATATGAATATATATACGGTACATATACCAAAATAACATTTTTTATAATTTTTGTCTGTCTGTCTGTTTGTTCCGGCTAATCTCTGAAATGGCTGGACCGATTTTGACGGGACTTTTATTGGCAGGTAGCTAATATAATAAGGAGTAACTTAGGCTACTTTAATTTTAGAAAAATAACTAAGTGGCGGGTACAGCTAGTAGTATATATAATTAGTCATTTTGCATTCCCAAAATACCAGTTACTCTGTTGATGTGGGGGCTCTCCCACCGATTGTTACATGTACGTATTACATGACGCACGCGTACCATGTGTTTTTGTATACAATATTCTCAATATTTCGGCTTTCGAGAGAATGTGGTTATAAAATTGATATGCATACTAGCTGACCCGACACCCGTTGTTTTGCCAAATAAATTTCAGTACTAATATTGCTATTAAAAAAATAGGCGTTGGCGATAGAAGGGTGGAAATTTTTAGTATTTTTAATGCCACATTATAAAAAATAAAATGTTAAAAAAACATTAGGTGGACAACCCTTAGCACTTATGGTTATGAAAAATAGATAGTAGCCGATTCTCAGGCCTACTGAATATTATAATTTCATAAAAATGGGTCATCCGTTTCGGAGGAGTATGGTAGCCAAAATTGTAATACAAGAATTTTATATAATATATAAGATATTTCAATATTGGAACAATTTCGATCGAATGTGGTTATAAAATGTGCACTTGTCTTGTAACTATTTCAGTTGTATGTATTTGTCGTTAGCCGACCAAAGTCGTCACATTTTCCCCTTTTTCGAAAAAAAAAATTAATTGCAGCTCCGCTCCTATTGATCGTAGCGTGATATTATATAGCCTAAGACACTCACAAATAACGTGGCTTTCAATCGGTAAAACAATATTGAATCAGTTCTGTAGTTCCAGGGATTCCCTGTACGACCTCAACTTTATAACATTGTTTACATCGACTGGAATTATTTATGTTGGAAATACCTATACTACTATCTACAACATTAAACTAATGCGTAATGCATACCTCTTATAGTTTTCCTGGAAGAACGCTTGCTTTTTCTCAATCGGATGCTCTTATTAAGAACAGAAACCCGTCAAGTGTGAATCGGACTCGCACAATTAATAAAAATCCAAATTAAATAAAGATTCCGAATAATTATAAGTTTGACTAGCTGTTCCCGCGACTTCGTCCGCGTAGAATTAAACTTTTTTTTTTCTAAAATAAAAGTAGCCTAGGTTACGCCTTAGTACATCAGCTACCTGCTAAAAAAAGTCTTGTCAAAATCGGCCCAGCCATTTCAGAGATTAGCCGGAACAAACAGAGAGACAAAAATTGTAAAAAATGTTATTTTGGTGTATGTACCGTATTTATATTCATATGCATGTAGTAAAAAACAGTTATTTCAATTTTACAACCAGACTCCAATTTTATTTATATGTGTATAGATAATATAGCCATTACACCCTGTGCTAGTTTTCATTAAGGTTCAGTCCAGTGAAGTCCATTCAGGATCATCATCATTATCGAGTATTACGAACAAATAATTAAAGTAAATTTTATTTTAATTATTCGATATTAAAGAACAATTTGATGGCAAAATAGAACAATATTTTATTATTTAATGTATTTTTATATTATTTTGTTTAATTCCGCGACCATTACCATGTGTGATACTAGAAATATTCAGTGCGGAAACCTGACCACCGCTACTGGAAGCGTTACGGCCTTATCTATTGGTGATCAAACTCCGACCGTTATTGGATCTACGCCCATATTGCGACACGTATTTCGCCTCTGAACGAGGCATCATCAGGCAATGAATTGAAATCGAATATCTATATTCATGTAGGTCTATTACTATTAGGCACATTGATGAAGAAAAAATATAATCCATCACATTTAAAATAAGTATTGTTGCTAAATAACAGTTTGTATGTAACGTGCTGCTATATATGTAATCCACTGAATATCTCCATCAATTACAGACTCTAATGATATGTCAAATCTACCGTCATTCCGACCTGATGGTAGATTTGACATATCATAAGAGAGAGAGAGAGATATACATATATAGCAGTAAATATAATTTACTTTCGTTCCGATCACAGCTGCACGTTACATACAAACTGTTATTTAGCAACAATACTTATTTTGAATGTGATGGATTATATTTTTTCTTCATCAATGTGCCATATCATAAGATGTGTGACATATCATAAGAGTCTGTAATAGACCTACATGAATAAAGATATTTTGAATTTGAATTTGATATAGCTTGGAAGACTAGTGTTGACTGTACGGCGACTAGACTACGACTCAACAAAACTAAACTTAATGCAATGAAACAAAATAATATAAATCAACAAAATAATTTTGGTATGCCATTAAATTGTTATTATATATCATACTAGCTACTCGCCCGGGTGTACATATATTATACATATAAACCTTCCTCTTGAATCACTCTATTTAAAAAAAACCGCTTAAGAATCCGTTGCGTAGTTTTAAAGATTTAAGCATACATCGGGACGGACAAACAGAGACAGCGACTTTGTTTTATATTATGTAATGATAATAATAATGAATTATAAAATAAAATTTACTAAAATTATTAGAAATCCGCAATGAATTGGACTTCCGCAAAATAATAATGTAGAAAAAATATTTTTTACATGTTTTTATTTAGGCCCACAATTAATTGAACAAACGGACCGACAAGATTAATGAAGGTTTCGGTACACTTTTTGTATTTAAAATAAGAATAAAGCCATAAAAAAAAGACTGTCAACAGATTGGTATGAAAGTATTCATTGTTAATGATTATAAGTAACCTTACAACATAATACAAAGTAGGTTATCTGCTTATCGCCTGAACTTGGTATTAAAGAGCCCGTTTGAAGGGCAAAACAAATGTTTATTTGTGAAGAAATTGTTGATTTTTTTACAAAGGGGCCGTTTATAAACTAGATAACATAAATTTTAGTAATTTATACTCTGTCTCATGTCACTGTTGGTCACACTTTAATAGCAAAATTTCGTGTTGTAATTCTAAAATTTTAATGTGACGAAAAATCTAAAACCTCACCTACTATGGTGGATAGTGTCCATAAATTCCATGATAATTTTACATGAAATTCCTGTCCACTCCGATCGATGCCCCGTCAAATTCAAAAAGCAATAGAAATTACGACGGCCTGAGCCAAGGTTCGAACCTCTAGCGGTGCTCTCAGACTAATGTCGTATCCGTCAAAATTGGTCTTCAGCCGCTCCATAAGTCCTTCCGCGGATTTGGAGTGTCATCTGCACCGTCCCTTATCGTTTGATGAAGATGTAAAAGGCCAGCAGCGGCCAACAGCGTTAGAACAGTTCGAAAAAAGTCAAACCCCTTGATGTGTACCTTTTTTTAGTTCAGCTTATCATCCTACCCCTCCTTAACTCCCCATAATATGGCGGGAAGGTTTGTTAGTAATGTGGCAACAGATGGTACATTGCTAGCAATGTACCATGTCAGGTTGACCTCCACGCGGTTCTCTCTGGAAACCATCATGATAAATTCTTGGTGAATATGTCACGATGGACTAACTGACCTGGCCCCATGTTCATCATATCATCCTCCACTGGTGCCCCGCCAGCGTAAACCGTTAGCGCAGGCAGGTACACCATTCCATTATCATCCATAAAAAAACTCCCCATAATGTCTATCATAATGTATGGGTGACACAAAAGTCGTCTGTATTTTTGTAAGTCACCTGTGTAAGCTGTATTGTGGCTTGAAGTGTGAGCTTAGCTCATGCTCAGTTAGTTAGTATATAATTTTGAACTTTATTCGTAAATACAGTAAAGTATTGACTTAAACAAAATATTAGAGATTACGAGTACAGTTACAATTAGGTTTATTGCTAAAAGCAATCTTTTCAAGGAAAACCATAGGAAGAATTTATTTTAAATATCGCACATGGTGTATGTAATAAGCAAACAGGACTAAAGTAAATAGTAACTAACATATAATGATGAAGGAAAAGGATTTATATACGAATGAATTATAGCTATGAAACTTATACACTCTTATCACACGAGATTATCACTCCATTTTCCATAAAAAATCCAAATACAAGGTTCAAAAATACTGCGATTACCACAACGAAGTACTAGGCTACCATAAATGGGGATACAGTTAAGCATACGTAATGAATATATTATTGTTTATTTTGCATTATTGGTCGACTCTATACTGTAAGATAGTTTATATTCATAGTATGTATATACACCATTTCCTTGTGTAGTTATGAGTATATCGAATCTTCCATCTTTAAACTACATATTGTAAAATTGGCCTTGCACACTCTGAGAAGACATTAAAAAGAAATTTAAAAATAATTTATTCATGTATGATATTTTAGTCGCTGTCAAGTCAAGTTTATTCTATAAAATTATTTCAGTACCGTCCAGTTCGGACCATAGGAACAATTGAGAAGAACTGGTAAAAATAAAATATTGAAATTTTTGTCAGACTTTTTTCTCTGTAAATCACGATTTTCTTAGATATAAATCAATAACATTATATCTATAGAAACATTTTATTTATAAAAATTACTTCGATATCTTAGATTAGATAATGAATCCATCAAACGATCTAAATTAACAATCTAAGCGCAGAACCCAATCCTATTCAAATGATTGCTTATACACATATGGCTGATTAACCGACTTCCAAAAGAAGAATATCCTAATTTTATTTAGTACTTTTTTATAGGCGAATGTATAGTTACTTTGATGGTTTTCCTTTTATTAGGAAGCTGTTGCTTCTCATATGGTCGCAGTTAATTTAATCAAGGCTTTACCAGTAATTTTTGGGTAATCCTTAATAACAACATAGTCGGAAAGGGTATTATACTAAGCCGCAAGGATATGTACATTTCGACACCAATTTATACTAAGCTAACTCGAATTTTCAGTAACTATTTACTACTTATATATTTCTTTACATTTTTTTTGTTATATATAAAAAACACCATAGAAAATAGACGAGGAAAAATGTTAGGACACTTGATACGGCACGATGATTTCATGAAAATTATTATTGAGGGGAAAATAGAAGACCAAGGCATAGCTACATCAAACAAATTGAGGACAAAATGGGAGTCGTGTCGTATCAAGAATTAAAGAGCATGATGGAAGATCGCGGAAAGTGGCAAGAGCTCCACCGACAAGAGCGTAGCTCTTAAATTATGAATGAATGAAAAAACACCATTTTAAGCAGTTAGCTTAGTATAAGTTGCTAGCAAATCGACTGCTTTAAGCAAGTAAATAATGTAGATGTAATAAAGCTTACCATTTAATAACTTTGGCTTCACTTCTTGTTTAGATCCATTCTTTTCCCCGTTGTTCTGGAAATAAAGAGCAATATATAAATTTTAGTACAATTATTTAATTTTAATGCCCAAAAATATAATCTGTAGAATAATAGAATAGAAGGATTTATCACGACGGTTTCCAGGGGGAACCGCGTGGAGGTGAACCTGACATGGTATATTGCTAGCAAAGGAGTTATCAGTCCACATTACTAACAGTCCTTTTTCCTCGGGACAATTGACACAGCGTCATCTAGTCCCAAGCTAAGCAAAGCTCGTGTTACGGGTAAAAGACTACTGATATAAATACACAGATCCTTTTTTTTAATACATAGAAAACACCCAAATCGAAACAAAAAATCATACTCATGAATACAAATGTTTGTACTGTGCGAGGAATCGAACGCACGACCATCGGAAGTTAGGAGGCATGTACCATCACTGCTGAACAATTCAGACATAAAACACGTAAAGTTGTTTGGCCGTTACGTAAGGAAAATATTGCTTATGATATTAATGTATATTTTGAATTTCTTGCATATAAACATTTCGTCTTTCCTTCCTTATTTAATGTTAACTGCTTTTAGCAAATTTTGGAATGTTTTCAAATATTTGTTAGCAAATTTTGTATGATGATGGAATGATGATTTATGTTTTTAGTTAAGTACTAGCTTTTGTCCGCGGCTTCGCTCGTGTTAATTTATCCCCTTAGAGGTGGAATTTATCAAAATCATTTCTTAGGGGATGCCTACGTCATAGTAGCCCGATTGATTTATTTGAAAAAATGTTAGATTATTCTTTCACAAGTAAGTATAAGACCACAAATATCCAGTGTGGTGGTCTAACCATCATCACAATAAACATAATTATGGTGATGGAAGATGGTGGCACTCAAGCAATCCGCCCATCTAATGGAGCTACAGCTTGTGTTATGGGTATCAGATAACTGATACTGATATGGACATTTTTTTTTCATAAATACATATTATAGTTACATAGAAAACAATACAAACAATCATACCCATGATTGTTTGTATTGTTTTCTACAATACAAATGTTTATGTAGAATACAATGTATGAGTAGAACCTGTGACCATTAGAAATAAGGTGGTGTGCAAAACTGCTAGACCACAGAGGCAGACAAAGTAATAAGTAGTCATTATGTAATTATTTAGGTTCCTGTGGTGGATGCGGTGAGGAAAACAGTTTCCTTAATAGAGATGACCTAATGTTGTTAGTTTGGCAAATTAACAAGTTGTTTATGTGTCATCCCATCATCACTCATGTTATACCTATTAATAAACAACAATTTCATTCATTACTTAACTTGTTACATTTAAATTATTGCATATAGTTCATTGTTGTTGTTGTCTCATTATTCTACAACATATAAGTACCAATACAAGTACTGTAGGAACAAATTATAATACTGGAGAGTAGGAAAAAAAATTGATGTTCATAAGCAGCTAAAATATTCTACATGAATATTTTTTTTGTTCCTGGTATATCCAAGATTAATATGTCCAACATTATTAAATAATTTTTTATTTTATTTTACTTACCAATATTGTTATAAAAATAGGAGTTGATAGTAAGGGTGTGAAAATTTAGGGCTGTATGTATTTTTAATGCCAAATATTAAAATAAAATTTTTGTGCTAATCAAAACATTCACAATATTTTTGGGTGGAAGCAGTTATTTCAATAGAATTAGATTTCATATAGGTACATGTTCTATTTTGTATATTCATATTCTAGATCTAGAGAGATTCAGACTCTAATCATACCAATTTTGATATAATATAAGCAACATAGTAGATTCAAATTTTAGAATTACTTACTATCTAGAATCTAGTATATAAGTGGAAGTTTTGAAGAACTTCATTAGTTTGTAGAAAAACATTGTTGCAGTTATGAGATGAGTATATATAACAAAAAATGCTATATTATACAATATATGGGGATTTAGTCTCTTTTTTTTTATTTTTATATCATGGAATCATTCTTCTATACTATAAACAGATTTGTTGACTATATAAAATCCCTTGAGAGGTTCTCCATTAAGAATCCAGCGTCCCAGCTTATGCCAGGTTGTTGAAGTTTGCTATTTTAGGTCTCATAAGATATACCATCTGCCCTGATAAAAACCATTGCTCCTAAGAATTTCCTTGAATTCTTGTCCCTGACGGGTCTAGGTAGCGAGCTCTAAAAAAGGGTGAATAGATCTATGTAGGTTCCAGTACTACAGGTCTTAACACATGATAATAGCCCAAAACGCTAAATACAATATTTTATTTTTTGGCAAAAAAATATAGACTGTTCAACTGACACTGATTATATATATATTTTATAATATAATATTATTATATGGATATGGATGATGATTTTTTTTTCAAATCTATATCTTGCAATCCATTCACCAAGCCTTTATCAGATTTGTTGTGGGACTCTGTTGACAGGAGAGAACTGCATCTCCAGTATGGAGACTGTCTCATATTACATTTTTTTTTACTAATCTCCTGATGATGACAAAATGGTAAACCCAACTGTGTTAATGGCATATATAAGTACATACACTGGCAAGGCACCAGGGGAGAACAGTAGGACAAGTATGAAGTCAGGCAAGGAATCATCAGGAATTAACTGCAATGTTTTCCAGGGGACTATGTGGAGGCTGATTTGACAAGCTCCTAGTATACTAGTTCACATTACAACAACCTCCTCCCCTGTGCCCATTATAATCCCTATTCTCGTCTAACTCTATATTTACCAACATGATCCTTAATCTATTTCTTATAATATTAATGACTATTAAAAGGAAAGTTTGTGGAAATACATGAAAGGATATTTGCAAAAACTACTGGACTGATTTGTATAAGATTTGGTATGCCTAGACATTATATTTTAGATTAAAAACACTTATGATACTTTTTACCAATGTAATACATAACAGCAGATACCGTTAGTTACGTTTAGACATACATTTCTTACTAGAAATTGAAACTGTTAACATACCACGGCCGTATTGATGTAACTCGTGAAGTTGGTTTGCGCCTTTTTCTCATTCATTGTTATCAAAAAACTTTCAATACGCACTGACCCACTTTAATCTATTTATAAAAATAACTTTTACTAATACGTATTATTAATATTCTAAATTCATTAAAGCGGCAGTAATTTTTTAATTAAATTAAAAAGAATCCGCATGATTCGTGTTTATATCACACAAATTTGATAACACCACACCAGTCACAAAACTTTCCAAGTGTCTGTCAGATCATTCCATATGGATGTTCCCATTTATTTTATAGTGATCGTTAAATAAAACATAATTAATAGCAAAAATAGGACAAACTAATTATATTTTCAATAAGATAAACATAAATTTTAATAAAATCCATGAAAGAAGTCTATAGTATGCAATGGGCAACAAATAAAATGACAGCACTATTTTGTGTTACTAGTCTAAAAAAAGAAATTCTATAAGTACTCTGTGAACATTGTAAATATATTATATTTGAAGCAAAAAGTTATCTTCACGTCTATGGTGCGAATAAAATGTGATGATATAATAACCCCATTGATATATATACTATGGCAACCCCGAAATAAAAAAAAAGTAAAACTGTGCATGTGTGCATGTCTCAAAAAAATGGCGATTGATAAATTTTTGTTCAGAGTTTGAAAGCACATTCTTCAGGAATTAGTTAATTCATTCGTAATTTAATTGTTGGCTTATAACTGTGAATAAGGCATCGGAATGGCTGATGCCATAGTAGAGCGAAGACCTGTTGCTAGGTTCTTTTGCCACAGGTGTAACATTGAATTTGAAGATGTTTTGCAGGTAAAAATCAATATTTTTAAAATAAATTTCAATAGAACAATGGTTTAAAGACCTGTGTAATGTAGAACATCTTGCGCATACTGTAGTTATATTGAAACAAAAAATAATGCAATAATTTTAAAGATTTAACTGCCTATTTAGCATACCATAACTGGATGACTAAATTAGGTGGAATTACGTTCGTTTGGCAGCCGGGTTTTGATCGTTTTGTTTTGTCATAATCAACTCATTGTTGCTTTTAATCTGTTTGGTTTAATATTGTTATTACAAGGATGTGAATGTGATTAGTTATTTTTGTATTGGCTCGCTATAATGATGGTAATCATGTAAACATTACGTCGTAAACACGCTGGGGACCACAGCACTAATCTAAATGTATACATGTGTATTTTTAGTAATTATGTTCAGTAAAACTAATTGGACTCTATCTGTAGTATAAGTTTTTAGGTAAACTCACAAAAGATACATTATTTCATAACTCTTATTTAGTTTTAAATATAAATTACACACTTAATGTGATTAATAATGATGTGATTAGTAATAATGATTTACAATGACTATATGAAATCTCTGAAGTTTTCTAATGTTAATAGTAATGGTAGAGTTCACTGTGCCATGGTAAACAAAATAAACAAATACATGAAATGAGCATGCAATAGCATGTGCAAGTCCCGGAAACTGCTCTGAGTTACCGTCTCTGCCACACGAAGGACATGTTGCCTCCATGGTGAATTGATAACATGATAAGAAATTTGTCTCATGGAATGGTGCACTTGGCTGCTCTGTTAGAGCAGGATGCATAGGCTGAGCATGAAAGAGTCAGTTAACACACGGATTGGACCACATTGATTTCCAGGGGTATTGTATAGAGGTCTACAAGTTTACTGACAATCCCTTCAATCCTTAGTATAGTAACATGCAGCTTTCATGATTGTAATTTCAATTTCTGCACTATTGAAAATTTATTACAAGGTTTTATTTTATAACTTTTTCGTTGTACTGGCATGGTTGTCTATGATGAATTGATTGAAATGAAAATAGATGTATACTGCATCAGATATGTTTTAAATTGTAGTACTTTTTTAAATTCTCAATTTTTAAACTTTCAGGATTACACCTGTCCATACTGTGCAAGTGGTTTCATTGAGCAATTGGAGAATGATACAGAGGGGGGCCTTTCCGTTGATGATTTTAGTGATGCCGACATGAGTAATATTGAAGACATGAGCAACATTGATGACATGAGTAATCTGGATGACTCAGATGACTTACATCAGGTATTAAAATAATATTAAATTTTTTTTATAGGTGATAATGGAGTGGTGTACCCACTGTATATGTTGCCTGTGCACCAGTGGATGGTAGAAGAATAGGAGAAGTATGAGATCAGGTCAGTTAAGTCATTGTGGCAAATTCAATGGGAATTTACCACAATGATTTCCAGGGGAGCATGAAGGTCTATCTATCGTGTTCCATTGCTAGCAATGGGGACACTAATCCCCATAAACAATCCCCTTTCCACCAATAAGTTATAACAATTTATTTAAAAAAATTTGCTGTTCATAAGCGGCTAAAATGTCTTACATGAATGAATGAATTCGTAAATAAATAATATTGAATTTTGAATTTGAATAACATTCTGTTAAGAGTGAGGCCACTGTGCTCAGCAGTTTGGCACACACTATATTCCAATGGTTGCAGCTTCGATTTCTCATAGATATTAATGATAATGCATAATAGTGTTTGTATTAATCAGCATGATTGTTTAATCTATTATGTATTTACAAAAAGAATTAGTGTTTTTATCAGTTGATTAATACCCATAATACAAGCTCTGCTTGGTTTGCCTCGGGACTAGATGGCGCTGTATGAATTATATGTAATGTGGATGTTAAAAAAGTATTAGAAACCATAAGCTATGAAGATGATTTAAAACTTATAGAGGTATGTTTATGTGCAACTTGTCCTATTAACAATTTACAACAATATTAATTTATTTATTAGGAAAACTATTTTTTTTTTATTTAATACTTCTTTATTTAAGTATAACAAAATCAATACAAATAGATATACATCTAAGAGTACACAAAACATATTTTTTAGCGTTACACAGACAATAAGTCTTTTTAAACATATAACAGTACGAAAATGATATATACAAAAAAAATCAAAATGTGGCAGTCAATAATTAACTCTTTAAAAATATTTATGTACGGTTTGATAGATATTACCTACATAATACAACAAATAGGAAAACTATTAATTTTTCAAAATAATAATATAATATTCGTCCTTTGTCTCCTAAACACTGTGATCAATGGTGTAGAGAGATTACTTGCTAAAAATAATTCTATATAATCTAAAACTACTGTACATTACTGTTACTCAACCAGTTGGTTGTGTATTTAATATTTTAACTCTATTGAATTAGAGCTAGTTAGTAGTTTGTATACATACATTTTAACTTAACAATGTAAAGTTACAACTAAATTATTTAAAAGAGCAACACACAACAAAAAAAACGGTTATTTCAATATTACAAACAGATACTCCAATTTTATTTCTATGTATAGTTATAAATTTAATAACAAAAGTTCCAATAGACAACCTCCATAGGTTAATATAGCAAAAATAAATAAAAAAATAAAACAGGAGGTTGTGTATCCTGTCTGCTGCAAAATTTATTAGAAAATTGAGTATGATAATGCAATTCGTGATCATGATTAGTCATGATTTTTAAATTATGAAATGACGCGACGATTTCGCACCTTCTAGAATGTACTTATTGGTAGGTACGTTATCTTATATATAAATTTCTCGTGTCATAATGTTAGTTACCATACTCCTCCCAAACGGCTTGATCGATTTTTATGAAATTTAATATGCATATTCAGTAGGTCTGAGAATCCGCTACTATCTATTTTTCTTACCTTAGTGGTAAGGGATCCATCCATCCCTAACATATTTTTTTTATTTTATCGACATAATGTTTTATTTTTATTTTATTATTATTTAGGATTGAAAAATACATACACCCCTAAATTTTCACCCTTCTGCATGAACCCCATATTTTTAATAGCGATTTTAATTTATATGAAAAAAAATAACGTTTGCTGGGTCTTTGTATATCTTGCTAGTATCTTTGTATATTTTTTATTTGTAAATCGGTTGGAATAATACAAACACCATACTTTATGTGAATCTTACCATATAATGTAATGTATGTTGGACTCAATTTTCCGCAATCAACCTTTCATCTGGGCCGTTATGCGACCAATGCTTACCATAATATATTAGTGAAAACTGCACACAAATCGGTTAATCGTGTTTGAGATTCTCCGCGCATAAACAAACATACGAAAATTCTAGCAATCCTTGTTTTGTGTACTGCGTAGAAAAGTTCCTCATACACAGTATGTTTCCATGTTTATCATTACGTAGTATAAAATAAAGTCGCTGTCGCTGTCTGTCCCTATGTATGCTTAAAACTACACAACGGTTTATGAAGCGGTTTTTTAAAAATAGATTTCGATAGAGTGTTTCTAGTGATACGCCGATACGATTCTAGATCGAGTGATTCTAGTGGAAGGTTTATATATATAATACTTGTACACCCGAGCGAAGGCGGGGCGAGTAGCTAGTTATTATTATAAATGTATTAAATATCTTTTTTTAATGTCGTTCTCGCACATAATGTTACTATATAAATAAATAATTTAATATTTCCTTATAAGAAATGGCGACATTTGTTTGAATGTTATCTGTTATCAGTCTCGTGAGAAATATTTGTCGTTATCAATTTATTACGCTCGTTGTTTTTATAGACGCAAAATTTGATAACGGATACACTACAGTAAAATCACAATTCATCAATATATTTAAACGTTAATGCTATGTTTACATTCAGCCGCTTCCCCTGCCACTCGCGCTGCCGGAAATATTGCCGGGCGACAACTGAGCGAGAGGTCTAATGTAAACACACGCTGCCACTCCTCCAAGAATTTTTGTTAGACATGGATAAATTAAAAAAATATATAATAATATTTTTATAATTCTATTACATATACTTTATTATGGGACGGTCCTGTGGTCTTGCGGTTTAGCACATCGCTTTATTTCCGATTTTCGCAGGTTTAATTCCTCCTATGAATTTATGTATTCGAGTATAATTTGGCTGGGTATTTTCTATGTATGTTATGTATGTATTAAAACAATGAGTGTGTATTATCATCATCATTACATAGTATAAAGTCGCTGTTTCTGTTTGTGCGTATGTATCCTTAAATCTTTAAAACTACGCAACGGATTTTGAAGCGGTTTTTTTTAATAGATAGAGTCATTCAAGAGGAAGGAGTATAAATATAATACATGTACACCCGTGCGAAGCCGGGGCAAGTAGCTAGTTACTAATATATAGAAAATTTCATAATTAGAGATTAATATAGGCTCTTAATAGAAAAGAAAAATAGATAAAAAATGCATTAAAAAAATTAAAACTAATCAATTCTAAAACATTCTATTTTGTTAACAGGTAACAAGTCCAATGTCTCATTAATGTAACAGTTTCTATGTTATCAATATATTTTTATGACACTTTAATATTATGTAAATTCTATATAATATTGCGCAATACAGTGATACTAACTAATATATGTCTATTTCTCACCCGTACCTGCACGGGTACCGTTTATTTCTGTAGTAATTAGTCTAGTTTTGTTATGTGGCCTTACTTCTAATGGCTGTATGGTGGTCCTTTGGCTATTTAGGAAAAAAAAATTTAAATGAAAAAGTCAGAATGAGGGATGCGATGAATGAGTCTGGAAGCGGCCGCTGCTCTTTTAATTTAACCGTCTTTTAAAAATAAATTATATTTAGATATATATATTATATAACACAAGCCTAGTAATACGGCGAATTTGTTGGTTTTTCAAAATTTTCTGTCATTAGGTTGTTTTTTTTTTCGTGGCGATCAGTCGCAAGACACATAAGCTGAGTGCTTCTTGATTCGTAGACGAAGAGGTCAGTACCTCTACCGCCTTTCAAGATTACATTACCTCCTCTTCAGTCTCTTGATCATGTGAGAAGGCTCCACGCTAATGGATTAGGATCGATAGAGCGTCGGTCTGTATATTTCCCTCAGAAAATTAATAAATATTTTTTTTACCAATAATTATGTAATTTCATACTATAATTTTTTTATTTTACTTCGCGTGGAATTTAACTTTATTTTTATAAAATAATAGAATTTTCAAAAATAAAAGCAGGCTAAGTTACTCCTTATTATATCAGCTACCTGCCGAAAAAGTCCCGTCTAAATCGGTTCAGCCATTTCAAATATAAGCTGGAACAAACAGACCGACAGACAGACAGACAAAAATTATAACAAAATTTTGGTATATGTACCATATATATATTCATATGCATGTAGTAAAAAACGGTTATTTCAATATTACAAACAGACACTCCGATTTTATTTATATGTATAGATGTATAGATTAAATAAAGGGATAGCGCAGGTTTTGAGTATCATTATGGAGTCGTAGAAAATTAATCAATAATTTATCAGTATGAAATTAAATTGTTTGTATTAATTGTTAATAAAATTGTGTTACAGAGCGCACCTCCAATGTTGAACGACCTCGCCTTTCTCATGTCGGGCGGACGGATGCGGTAAGTTTTTTTATGTTTACGCTCAAGTGTCGTATCACATATTATTTAAAAATAAATCTGATTTTGTTTGTTGTCCGGTTTACTGAAATAAATTGGTGTACATTATAGTATACCAACATACATACATTATAGTCTCCCTTTTTTTTTGTCCATTCTTGTGACGTCACGATGTTTAATTCGACGAGAGTGGATAAAGACAGATACAAGTAAAAAAGATCAGGGAAGGAATATATCATTACAAGATAAATGAGTAATAAATATAACAATGATCATTATAATGTATAATGAGTAAACAAAAATCTTGGCATAGTATAAAGCAGGGATGTTATGGATATGAAATATCGGATACGGATACGGATGGGGATATGAAATTATTACGCATTATCCGTTAGATTCGGATAATTTCGGTTACGGATATTATTTTTTTAAGGAATTTCAAAAGTAAAATACAAATAGCTAATAAAATGGTTACATAACGTGTCTCAATTAGGCTCCGCCACTATCCGATATCATCCGCAGCTTTTATTTCGGATTCGGTTACGGTTACGGATATTTTATTATATCTCATATCCGATAGTTTCGGTTAAGGTTACGGAGTATATAGGAAAGGCACCGCAGCTGTCTGTTTACTTATACCTTTTAAATTACAACGGATCTGTTTAAGTGTGTTTTATTCAAAACTGCATTAAGAATGATTCAAGAGGAAGGCTTAGATCTTAGATACATGCATGCATATGCTTGTTATTTATATATGTTTGTTCATATATATAATATGTAAAGAAATAATTAATGAAATATATGTGATATTATTTTTATTAGAGAAATAAAAACATTACATTATTATGTGCATTCTCATGTTGCGATCTATATTCATGCCAATTTTTTTGCATGAATAAGCCAGCCGGTTAGTCAAGTTTTAAGTGTTAGCCAAGAAACAGATACGCATGCTTTCATTTTTTTTATAATATCCTGATCGTGTGCAGGGGTCCAGGACGGCGCGAGACGCTGATGGAGCAGCTGGTGTGGATGATAGGCGGAGCCCGCGGGGGCACGGGCGCGGTCGCCGCCGCCGCGCCCTTCGTGCTCGTGGGCGCTCCGGGGGACTACGTCTTCGGCGGAGAGGGTATGGCAACTTCAATTCGTTTAAGGCAGCTAGCCTTTACACATACGCTCAAGGAATCTAAATATATATATAACTCAAAGTGACTGACTGATATAGTGATCTATCAACGCACAGCCCAAACCACTGGACGGATCGGGCTGATATTTGGCATGCAGGTAGATGTTATGACGTAGGCATCCTCTAAGAAAGGATTTTGATAATTTCCACCCCTAAGGGGATAAAATAGGGGATGAATGTTTGTATGAAACTTTCTCAATTTTGAACCGTTCGGGCTGAGACTTTGCATGCATAATGCTACTATGACGTAGGCATCCCCTAAGAAAGGATATTGATAAATTCCACCCCTAAGGGGATAAATTAACGCGAGCGAAGCCGCGGGTAAAAGCTAGTGTTGTATAGAGGCGACGTTTACTTACTTCACGTAAGATTACATCAGCTTGTTCATATTTCTCTTCTCTTGCCTGACGGATACGATTTTAGTCTGAGGGCACTCCTAGCGGTTCGAACTGCGGTAGTAATTTCATCCCTGTTTGATTTGGGCGGAGGATTCTTTGTTTCCTTAGAATTCCTTGAGAGTGTGGTATGAATTGTATTTCATCTTTCAGGTCTGGATGCAGTAGTGACACAGTTACTAGGTCAGCTGGAGAACTCGGGGCCTCCGCCGCTGCCGCGTGAACAGATCGCCGCGTTGCCCACACAGGCCATCACTGAAGAGCAAGTCGCAGCCAGTACCGCCTGCTCTGTCTGCTGGGAGAATTTCCAATTAGGTTAGACCCCAAGAATTGTAGAAAAGTTCCAAAAGTCCTAACTGTAGATGTGTTTTTATGATGTACTTTATTTCCTAAGTTTCTGAGACCCCAGTATTCATTAGTTTAATCTGTTTAAATTACTATTTTCTTTATTTGCTAAATTGGAGCAAAAAAAAGGTTGTGCTGTATGGTTGTATGTTCATATGAAAAGAGAAGTATCAGTTGATAGGATTCAGAAGTGGCTGTACTTAGAATGTAGCCTAACTTAGGTACATTGTTGGAGCACTAAGAATGTTGCAAGTATGAAAGTTGTGTACTAAATTTACTAGGTATTAGTTTCTAAGGGCGACCACGTCCAGTTAAATTAAATAAGGCATTGCAATTCAATCACTTCATGTGCTTCATGTGCTTGGTCAATTCGTGCTACATTAAAATTAATATTCTTATTATAGAAAATTCATTCTTATTCCAACACCATAATGTTCATATTCTGCTGCGACCAGCGAGTCCTGACCGTAACATTTCCCATATGTTTCAGAGGAGACGGTGTCGCGGCTGGAGTGCGGGCACGTGTTCCACGCGTTGTGCATCACGCCGTGGCTGCAGCTGCACGCGACGTGCCCCATCTGCCGCCGCTCGCTGCTGCCGGCGGAGCCCCCGCCGCCCGCGCAGCCACCGGCGCAGCCCGACCCGCGGCCCGCAGCGCAGCCCGGGCCCCGGCCCGCGCCCCACTCCGGCCCGCAGACGGGCCCGCACTCTGCGCCGCCCGCCGCGCCTGCCACCACGGCTGCGCCCGCGCCCGCTCCCTTGATGTCCGTACCCGGTAAGTCGAACTACAATGAAGCGGAGGTATCTGATGAGTGAGAGGTATTGAGGATTTTATGAGGAAAATATGAAGATTGTAGAAAATGCGACTAATACGGCAGCGATGGAATGTTACAAAAAGGATATGATTGTTATAATAATATGATCATTAACCATGTACTATGTAAATTGTTTAAGTAATAGTGGATTATTTTATTTGTTTTGGTTGGATGTTCATATAATATTTCTGACAGTATGTAATGTTAAAGGCTAATGTTACAGCCTTTTACATCGTTTGGAGGTCCAGAAAATCTAATTCACAAAGTATCATATGTATTCAGGGCCGGTTTATCCATAGGAAACTGCAGTTTACTAGGGGCCTAAAGGCCCCGAGCACTGAGAAATAACAACAAAAATAATAGGCTATATTGTATAAGATGCCGGTTCTCTTGCTTACTTTGAATACATTAACCGTATTATATATATTTTTTTAATTGGAATGTCCATGTGAAATGGTTTACATCGTTTGGAAGTTCTAGACGGTACTCGTGAATTGTCCAGGGTCATAATAATGATTTACTGGTGCAGTGTTGGCGCCGATCCGGACGGTGGTGGTCCGGCGGCTGGCGGGCCCGCGCTGGGAGGAGTCGTCGGGGTCGTCGTCGGCGTCGTCAGCGTCGCCGCCGTCGTCGGTGACGGCGGTCACGGCCGTCACCGCCGTCACGGCCGTCACGGCCGCCGGCCTGTGGGGCCCGCCGCGCTCCGACTCCACCACCACCACCAACTCCAGCGCCTCCCTCAACTCCAACGCCGACAGAGACCGCCACTACAACATGGATATCGACTACGACTAATCACCATCCGTCCGTGCGCAGACCGAGATGACAGTCCAGAGGGAACACTGCCCGCGACGTTATATTAGTATACGAGTGACGCTTATATATAAATGTGCTAGATAACGAGTGTAGCGATTTTTATTGTGTATTTTGTTAAGTGACAAGAAGCGATTATAAATACGAGCTATATTGAATATTTTGGTTGTCTCGGACGGTTTTGGTTTCAGAGGAGCTTCCTCCCGTGTATACTTAAATTGTGGAATGAACTACCTAAAGATTTTTCTAGAGACTACATGCATGGTGTTTTTTACTAAAGGTAAATTAAGGTTTTTAAGGATCGACAACGCGCACGTGATACCTCTGGCATTACAGGCGTATATAGGCTATGGTAACTGTTTACCATCAGAATAGCCGTATCCCTGTTTGCCACCATCATGGTTTAAAAATATATCAAGGGGTTATTTATTAATGACATAGAATTCTTAATGACATGCTATGGATATAGAAAATGGAATCACACTTGGTTCAAATATCAATAATATTTAACTTGAAAGAGTTACAAAAAAAATGATTTGTTCGAATGTTGACAATCGCTTGTCAGTGAGCGTGGTTCTGGGAGCAAATGTGAATGAGTGTATTTATTTGCTTTGAGCAGTTTGTCGTCTTTAATTTTGTTGTATGTCGTGTTCCCTCTTGACTTTTATCTTGGTCTGGGCCCGCGCCGTTCTCGGCGAGACAATGCTCGTGTGTGGCTGTGCAGTGCTCGTGTCTATGATGTGTGCTCGTTAGCTCGCGTGCTCGTGTGCTCGAGTGTTCTGTCCATCGGGAAGCACACTAATGGACACTGTAGTAACATATGTTATTTTTGTATGTACGGTAATTTTTTTCCCTCTCGTCTTTAAATAATGTAATTAAATACAAACATTGTACGAGTGTTGATATGTATAAAATATATTATATAGTTAACATAAACAAACTTCTTTAGATATTATCATCATACAAACGAACTGGCGAAGTTGTGTGCCTTTAATTTGTACTGTTATATTAGCTACATTGCATCAATTAATGATGCTCCATATAATAATATAATGCTGAACTAGTATGATATTGGAACTATTCAGTTTACTGAGGGGCCATCCGTAAATTATGACACTGATTTCGACACTCGGCCTTGTCACACTTGAAACCTCCTAGTGTGACATAAGATTTTGCAAAACAAAGCAATTTAAACCTTGTACATATATACAGATAGAGCTGAAAATATTTTGAATAATGCGTCAATCAAGAAAATTTCGCATACTTGTAGATATATTTTGAAATGTGACATGAAAGTTACGACACGTACCCCTTGTCACACTATGTCACACTTCGACCCCCTCCCTACCCCCTGAACATGTGACGTAATTTCTAGATGGCCCCCTAATTCTTCCATTCTATTGTACAGTGATAGTTTTGTAGACTTCATTTTTACCTCGTAAAGGGAGATATTAGGGGAGGTAGTTTTGTAAATTTTGTAAATATAATCATAGGCGTTTCTGTTATTTTATTTTATGATAACACGCTGTACAATGTATTTGGGGGTTGATCCGACAATGTTTAAAGGTAAATTGTACGATTCATTGTATTAATATTATATGTACATATTGGAATATATAGAATTATTACAAAAATAAAAGATATTATCAACACATGAAATATAGCATTTTTTTAGTAAAAATTATGTATTTTAGTATTCATAAATAATATATTTAAAATTAGGAAGCATTCTGTTTATTTTTCTTAATTTTTTTTTGCCGTCAAATTTTTTTGATCGTTATCCCTAACGTCCACTTCAACTTGCTATTTCTTTTGTGGCTTCTCAAGGGTATCTTATTTAATATTTATTTATGTTTTCTGCTTATAGTCTTTTACTAAATTTTATATATTTATATTACACTTGATTCCATCAGAAAATGACTGAAAACTACAAAAGTACAAAGGGACAATACTAAAAGGATACTAGGGAAACAAAAAACATTGATGTTAATATGTTTTAAAAAACACTACCTTTATGTTGATTAGAATGTATGCACTAATATTATTGACGGCCCAACATTTCTTGCTATTTTTGCAAATATAGCAAAAATAGCCCATTCTGGGCCTTCAATCTGTTATAGTAGATGACAGCCAGTCATTTTTCTATTTATTCAGTCTACATCAGTAGCTATTTTTCTAGATTAAAACTTCTATATTCTCAGTATGCCGTCAATATATGTACTAGTTACATACTACAATTATGATAATGTTCATATATTAAAAAAAATCATCACATAATATACCCTTAAGTCACCTTTGTTCTGTAAGTTTTTCAACTTAAGTAGACTTATCTAATTAACTTAATAAATTTTACAAATGTAAATACTCGTAAGTAACCGTAAGTTATCGTAATTTTTGCATACATATTTATTGTAAGTTGGATAAGTCATACTTATGTATCTAAAACTTGCTCAAGAAATTTATAAAGGCGATTTGACGTCTTGTTCGACTATGCTAGTAGTTTAGTGGAGTAGAGAGTGATTTAGTAGTATTGTAGTACCGAGTACTAATCTACTCGACAATTTTTTATGTCTATCTCATATACTAGTTTAGCCTAAACAAGATCTTAAAATTTGTGGGATCAATCCACGGATATGTTGTACATTTTCGATAAATACTTAGTAAAGTTAGTGACTTTTTAATGCCCTGTGAAATAAAATTACAATAATACGTTTAGTATAATTTTCACAATATGTCATTTAACAATGACGGTGTATGACACACTATGAAAATGGTAATAAAATTTGTAATATCGTTTGTATATGGAGACGCGGTTTAAAAGTCTATTAAGGCATCATAACTATTATTGTAATTGATTATTGCATGCACTTATCAATGGATTTGTTCAAAACATTGCAATTGTTTCGTTGAATTTCATTAATCGTCGAATGCAGCGAATATGTATTATGTATATTAGAAATGTCTGTTCGGAGACACACAGACGGAAAGTGTATAAAACAAATGTGAGACAGTCTACAAAGTGGTATAAAAATTTTAGATGTGCTTTTGTAAATATAATTAGAAATTATTTAAAAATATATATATAGTTTATTATTTTTTTACGAATATTGAAGGCTTAAATTTGGTTCGTGAACAATGTACGTGCATTGTTACTAAGTACGGTTATGAGGTTGCATTTCTTTTATTAACATATACTTACTAATGAACTTTTCCCTTTTGCGTGCCATGAAATCGAATTCATAATAAACAGGGCAAGATCGATTATGCCAGCCCTAGGCCCCTTCTAGGTAATTTCCTAAAATACATTTTCTACCACCAATAATATAATTATATATATAATTACGCTATACTTACTATATTATAAACATGTATCTTGTCAAGCATAGACCTATTAATACTTTGTTTTTATAAATGTTGATAGCGTTCTTATGAGAAATCAATTAAAATTGGATTTATGTCTGTGTTTCTAAAAAGGTACTTGCACATTACATATAACAACATTTCTAACAAATGGTTTGTACATTAGGGGCCCTAATGTACAAACCATTTGTTAGAAATGTTGTTGTTTGCAAAGCCTTAAAAATGAATGTATAACAAAAAAAAATAGTTCATGACATTCCAATTATAAAAAAATAATAATAACACAGGTAATGTGTTTTAAATACAACACATTTTTCCAATACTCGGATGCCGAGTATTGTAAAAAAAAAACAATAAAAATAATATTGTATCGTATAAAGTGACGGTTCTCTTGTTGTATTTAAAACACATTACCACACCGGTAATGTGTTTTAAATACAATTATTATATTTTTATAATTGGAATGTCATGAACTATATTTTTTTGTTATACACGATTACTATACTGTCCTATGGATAAACCGGCCCTGAATAGATATGGTATAGTATTTTATGAATTCGATTTTCTGGACCTTCAAACGATGAAAAAGGCTAATGTTACTTACATACAGTATAAAATATTACACGAACATCCAAACAAAACAAATATAGTAGTCCACTATTACTTAGATCATTTACATAGTACATGATTAAGACTGGTATACAGGTTTATTTGTTAAGGATATAAAACAGAAAGTCAGTTTTAGTCATAATATTATGCCTGAACAATGCACACAGCGCCATCTAGTCCCAAGCTAAGTAGAGCTTGTTTTAACGATACTAGATAACTGATAGAAGTACTTAATTACTTTTTTTTTTGTATATACATGCATAAGATAGAATGTATTATATATCAATGCGAACATTCACATCTCTTATACATGAATAAAAATGTTTGCATCGTGCAAGGAATCGAACCTGCGACAATCGTAAGGCGGTGTGCGATACCGCTAGAGCATCGACGCCATCAGTACTCAGAAAACTAAACCACTTTCAGTAAGAAGTAAAGTTAGAAAGAATAATTTTACATATACTATACATCAATTAATTATTTCTTAAATTTGATGCGGTTATTATTACACGTAAAATAGGAAAAATCATGGGATATTACTTATTATTATTGTTTTATTTATATTTTTATAAAAAAGTATTGTGTGTATGTGACGATATTGTGAGTGTAGATAGTAGCAAGAAACGAAGACGTGTGAAGGTAGACGAATATGTCTGCCCATAAATTTGAATTACCATCTACCAGCTGCTCTTCAGTTTACCCGAGATCATTGCGTTTGAAACACTGCTGAAATATCGGGAACTCAATAAAAATAAAACGTGATAAGATCTTGAAATTTCACTAATTTTACTTACCAATTTAGTCTAAGTTGAAAATATATATTCTGATTATAATTTTGTTTCTTGGTGAAAGTGGAGCAGTTTTTTTAAGGACTTGGACAAATCAGGAATGCAACAAAAATATTTTACGATCCTACAATATACTGAGAAAATGATAAACTTGCAAAAACAAACTACATATTTAATTTAATTACCCAACAATTGTTAATTAATTGATATTATACTATGTTAGTATATATATAGAAAATTATTTTATTGTGTCCATACAAGTCTTGGGATTTTTGCATTATTTAAAAAACTTGTGGCCTATAAAATCAACGACAGCTAAACCCCATACTCATAAAGTTATAATGACTCAGAACAATTCACACAGCGCCATTTAGTCCTAAATTCTAAATTAGCACAGGCTATGGTAGTAAACGACTGGTAAGATTTTTAATTTTTTTACAATTTTAGCGGAGCTGCGAAGAAAAACGGATGGATAATGGAGAATTGTGACGCAGACAAATTTGAGCGGATCAAGTAATAAATAATATCATAGTAAATATCCCGCTAAATCAAATCAATATTAATTAATTAATTCTTATTTTGGATTAATATTTTTTCCCTACCGTCCTGTTGAGTATTCAAAAGAAATGGGAAGAAACTCAACTGATTCTAGTTCTGTAGGTCTAGAGTCTAGGGTCTATGTCTTAGAAGAATATCCTGTGCATGAACTTTTAGTGTCATACACCTTTGTCATTCAAGTAACATAAAAATCGTTTGGTGTGTAGTATAGTAATAGGCTTAGCTCAATAAATATGATTTACCAGATGTTCTGAATTCAGCTAATATAATATGTACAACAGACTGTCAATTTTTTTTTGTGAAGATATGTATAATACTTATATAAATGCATACTAAGATACGTAAACCGGTACAAACATAAAAAAAAATAGTCTCCGTAGTTTCATGAATATGTGAGCGTCGTAGATTTTATAGGCCACTTACACCCCTTATTATTTAAAAAATATCTCTTAAATATATAACCTATATTAACTATTACAGTATTTTGTCACTTTCTTTCTAATAAAGCATATAGCGCACAAGAAAGGGACAAAATAGTTGAATATTTAAAATAGGTTAATTAGACACTTATGTAAATGTGAGAGTAGACCTATCAATCACATAATAAAAAATTTTAGATGAATATGATGATGAATTAGTCTGTGTGAATGAGTTGTAAATTATTTTGTTCAGCTATCAATAGGTTATACAAATGTTTGAATTTGTTTTGTGATGTTTGTTTGCTCAAGTGTACAAAACAAAAGCAAAAATTGCGATTGATAATAAAGTAACTATATATATAAATATATATATACAATTTTTGTTTTATATTTTCTACTTATCCTTTCAGGTTTTTTTTAGAGGATTATAGTGGAATGCTGCACCCACCTGCGCTAACGGTTTACGCTGGTGGGGCACCAGTGGATGATGATAAGATGAACATGAGGTCAGATCAGTTAGCCCAACGTGACAAATTCACCAAGAATTTATCACGATGGTTTTCAGGGGGAACCGCGTGGAGGTCGACCTACCGTACATTGTTAGTAATGGGATTATCAGAATACATTACTAACAAATCCCCTTGCTATCCTTTCAGGTTGTCTATAAATAATGGTAAGCAGAGAGACAGAGCAAATATAGGTACTGAAGGAAAGTGGTAACCGTCGCTTATAAGGGGGAAAGGAGATTTTTAGAAATACAAACTAATTACTCCATCGCTAACAATGTATCAAGTCAGGTTGACCTCCACGTGGTTCCTCCTGGAAATATCGTGATAAATTCTTGGTGAATTTGTCACGATGGCTAACAGACCTGACCTTATGCGCATTTTATCATCATTCACTGATACCCCGCAGGTATAAACCGTTAGAGCAGGCGGGTGCACCATTCTATAATCCTCCATAATACTGAAGACAATGGCTGTATGGGCTGAGTTCTTTTGCCTTTCCCTAAGAAGGGAAAAACTGAACCAAAAAAAATCAACCATAAAATAAAAATACGCGATATGATTCTAGGAGTTATCTTCATCCCGCGAG